CCCATCCGCTAGGTCTAGTCGAATACCGGCTCGGACCATGAAGCCGATGCCTAAAATTGCGTCCTGGCCCACCATTGGGATCACTCATACCTTAAAGATGTATACCAAGTTTCCGTTCAGGGTGACCTTGATGCAAGTACGTCCTTCCGTGGTATACACGGATTCCCCGACACCAACACATTCTTGCCGCTCACTTTCATCAATCTGGCAGCCTACCTTACGAGCAAAAGCGATATCCAAAATGGATATCTCGGCGCCAGTATCGAACAACAAATTAGCTCGATCGTCTTTAACCCTTCCAGAGGCCTTGGCCTGTCCAAACCATTTCGTAGGAGCATGGTACTCCCTCGAATTGCCCGGCAGTAGGTCCAGCTCCATTAATGTACGTTCTCGAACGAAATCATTAGATGCACTCAAAAAAGCAACATGGACCATAGGGTAACTTCCAAACTTCAATATATTTCCCATCACGTTATCCTGTACGCTCCTTCTCTCCTTAGGCTACTTTTTCACATATGCAAAGATACAACAATTAGAACGCTCGGCTCGTACGAGATTCAAACCTGGCGAGCGTCCTAATTTAGCATCTGCTCGACCTTCTCCGGCAACATCCCAGCGTGCGTGGTCGGATTGTACCACTGGCTAATGAAGTTATGAAACTCTTCCATCGGACACTTTCCAACCTCGTGGGTTTCTACACAGCCTAGACACACGAACAGGCAACGATCTGATGTATGACCCTTCTTTCCACGCGGTCACAAGTTGGCCTCTTCCAACAACCCAAGTCTCCATACTTCCTGGAATCACAATGGGCACATCTGGCACTTGGGGTTGCCGACGCCGTGCGGGGTCCAAAGTCCTTGGTAGAGGGTCGAGGCTGGTCGACCTCCCTGATAGGTCGGTCCCTCGGGGTCCTTGCCCTTAGTCCTTATCTGTATAAGGTAGACCTTCCGTAGGTCACCTTCACTATCCAAACTGTCTAAACCGGAGTCTTCGGAACTTGATCCCTCCTGGGTTGCTCGAACTGCATGAATAGAGGGGCGGTTCAGCTCCCTTGGCCGACCAGGGGTAATCGGTGTTTTCTGGCGAGCTTGCTCGACCCAAAAAACATCTTGCCTCGTCATGACTTCGTCCATTGACGCACCCTCAGCTCATCCTCCAGCTCTTCCCGCATCAGCCAAACGTAACACGGTAAGCTGGCTCGCCAGGTTGGGATCGTCCAAGGTCTCGAAATAGTGCTCGACATGTTCCTTTTGAATCTTGGGCGGCCCATCCTTGATCTTGATCTTCTCTCGAAGTCCAATGGTATTCAGATGGTATAGGTAGTCCAGCGGGATTCGTCTGATCTTTTCGTTGCGTGGTACTATTGACGGGTCACTGATACTCCGAACCACAGAATTGCATCTGGAATTCCTGTAGTAGATCCTTCCACGAACAGAGCGACCTAGTTGACGGTAACAGTTCTGGGCGAATCCAGTCAATAATCCTCCAAAACGAGACACTTTTCCCCATCTGGCGCTTGCTCCTTGTGAACGCGGTCTTCACAGTGGTCACTCAGCTGCGTGCTCGGTCCTCATCTTGATCTTTACCATGATACTCCTTAAGATCCGAGGTCGCTGAGAGCTTGATACGAGGGACCATGTTGGGCACCTGTCCCAGGGTGGCATTGGCCATCCTCGCTAGAGGTCCATCGAGTTCCATGTCATCTGGATCTATTCACATAACCCGACCGATTACATCTCCACATCGGTCATCGCTTGGTCTCTTGCAACTTGCATACCTGCACTTGGGTCCATCTAGGCGGTTGACCTCTGCGCTCTTTGTCGTCCTCTGGCCGCACTTCCATCGATGTGTGTTTGCAGTACTTGGCTTTCTTGTAGAAATTTTGCCATCGCCGCGTCGAAGGATGCCTGTAAATTACCTACCGGGTTGGTAGGCTCTCCCTCCCGGGCAGCTTCTTCACGTCACGAGGTATAAATCGGTACTAGTCCTGGCTCTTTTCGGATTGGTTGAAAATTCGACCTGGGGTAGACTTAGTTAAGTTACTTGAGATCACGACGAAGGCGTGCTATGTAGATCGCAAAGTGAGTAGTTTTTAATATAGTCCTATCTCTTAACTCTTTTACCCCAAGATCTGATTCTTGATTCTGCTTGGCTAGGGTATCTGAACCTCTGGACCGAGTTCGACCTCAGGGATAGGGGCCGAGAGTCCATCGACCGAAAGACCAAGGTTTAACGACTAAGGACCGAGGTCCATTGATGAAGGACCAAGGTCGACCTTCAGGGACCGGGGGCCGAGAGGTTATCGACCGAAGGGCCAAGGTTTACCGACTAAGAACCGAGGTCCATTTTTTGACGAAGGACCGAGATCCATTGATGACGGACCAAGGTCGACAGGCACTGGGGTCGAGAGCCCATCGACCAAAGATCGAGATCTGCCTTGATGAAATACCGAGGTCTACCAATGATACACCAGGATCGACCTTGAAGTACCGGAATCCACCTCGAGGAACCGCGGTGCATCGGGCTAACCGTGGTTAACTCCTTTGAATGGTGGCTAAGTAGCACGCTTTGACCGTGAATTCTTCACATCCAACGGTCGTTCCCTGTCCCATTTGCACCCCTTCTCTCTGTCCCTTACCCAACGGTCGCTTCTACTTGGAAATTCCCTTTCTCTTTGACCCACTGGTCCTCTGGCCTCCCAGTTCTTGAAAAGCTTCAACACAGCCGCCCTCTGCACTTGGTCAACGGTACAGTTGCTCGAGCACGCGCATGTCTTCGACTTCTGCATCCCGTAAGGACTCCTAGCTTGTTTGGCGTTTGATATATGTTATCTCACTTAATGTGACTTTAGCTGATATTTCCTCTGGGGTAACCCACCACCTGAGGAGCCGTTCTTGGTCACTCCTGCACTTGCTACTGACCCAGACGCCCAGGTCCCCTCCCTACTGCCGATCGGCACTTCTCTCCGAGTGCACTTACCAAGGGGGTCCACGACGGTTTCTTCTGAAGCCGTAGGTGATGAGAGTCCACCAGTCGTTGATGATCCTCGGTCTACCTCCAGCTTCTTTTCTGTGGTGGACCCCGTGAGGCCGGTCACTTGTGTCCCGCCCATTGCCCCATCAAGTGATCCTCCGGATGCGATGGGTGGACCCAATGACGTGCATCAGATGTGGCGCGACCTACAGGCCCGCCTAAGCGCGTATGACCGTAGACTTGAGGCGTGCGAGGGTAGACCAACTCCCGTCCCCTCCATCGACGCCTACTGGACCGACAGCCAGATGACCCTGCAAGACATCGAGGTCCACCCTCAAGATCAATGGTCGACCGAAGACCCATGGTCTATGCGAGGTCTATCACAGACCACATTGCCTCCGCTTCCTCAGGTTCCTGCAAGGCAATCATCGCGAGGATCGTCCGTCGCTAGTCACGTAGGCCGAATGCCAATGGGACCAACTGGCATGCCACTGCTGCAGGACCGAGCGGAGAACGCGGACGACGAGCAGCGAGCTCACGAAACGGCAACGCGTGTACAGCCAAGGTAAAGTCGGGATTTTGAACCCATTCCAGGAAGGGGTATATTTTGGCTCCCGTCAAAGACAGTTGTGTGGTAAGACCCAAGCGTGAATAGATCCCCTGGATGTATTTGGCCTGTGGGTTCGTTTGAGTAGCCCCCCCCAATCGACCCGCTATCGGAAGTGGTCTCCCTACCCTAGTGGTTCGGAGCAAGTAAAGGCCAGGCGGTAAACACCCCTGAGATATCAAGAAAAAGGCGAGGGTTGATAATCTCCCCTAAAGAATTTGGTTATAAGCCCACCCTCGTCCTAGTCAACAGAGTCGCCACCTACCTACCCACCGAGTGAAGTATATCCACTCGAGTCACCCCAAGATAGACTTCTGCCAAGGCCGACATCGCATCTCAACCAAGTCCTCCGAAGGGTTCAACACGCCAGCCGACGGGTACACAAGGTGAGAGAAGGTCTATAAGCGGCATCGGGAAAGCCCCTCCGACAGTCTGCAGTCCGGTCCAGTGAGTGGCTTGGGGTCTCATTGCGTGGTAGTGAAAACCCAATCCGCCATATTTGTGTGTGCGGCGGTGAGCCGGAATGTCAGGACAATTTTCCAGGTGACATGGGCGACGAAGTACTGACACTCTAGGGTAGGGTGAGGTCACCAATGGATGTTATCGTTGTGTACAGCGAGGTGCGAGCAACATAGAGACGGTGTACTTAGGGTGATATGAAGTCAATAACGATAGCATTTGTAATAAAAATGAGGTTCAAGCCGGTATTGACCCAAGCAGGATATGGTAAAGTAAGCAAACGTAGTAATCTTTGATGATTTTTTGTGGTATATAGACTCATTTTCAACTATCTAGGTTCTATAATAAGCTCTATCATAAATAAGTAAAGCTTATTCTATAGATTTGGTCGATGAAAGTCCCTATCTCGTATTACCTGCTCTAATCTTAGATAGGGACTTCCATATTCAATGACAATGTATTCGTACATGCAACTTGATGTACTTGCAAATGAGGGTAATCTCAACCACCACGTCACAGCTTGCCAAGAGCTCAAAGTTTCACAAGCGCACCAAACACATCGATATTCACTACTACCTCGTTTGTGAGAATACGGAAGACGGTTCATTGATCTTGAGTACAGCAACGCATGCAATACTGATACTTAGATGCTGACACTTTTGTGACAAAGGCTTTCATTGCTGGGCAATTTGATTTTATGGTGAAAGCTTGGAATCAATCTACGATTTCACTGCTGTTAAGTCAAGTGGGAGTGTCGTCGAGTTGATTTCACGACAGATTTATTGTCAGGTATCCGCATAAATTCAGTAGGTATAGAGGTGGCATGTAGAGCGAACTAAGAGGACGTTTGCTCTGTTCTTTTCGTACAAATCACTATGTGATCATAATCTATTGGCAAAGTGTAGTGACACTGTCATTATATGATCGTAGCAATTGTCACAATAGGTTAAAAAAGCTGATGGCAGAAACGTCACGGATTTTAAACTGCAGCACTCACTACGATGTGCTTAAGTTGAGTCCACCCGATCATATTCCAAGATTTATTGATACTCAGCAAGTACGCAAACACTATAAGGAACTGGCAATTCTCGTGCATCCAGACAAGAATCATGCAATAGGTACGAATCATATGGATTCAACTGAATACTATCGTGATGGACTTAATCATTCGTACAAAATGTAGATGCAGAGGACGCGTTCAAGCGACTGAGCGAGGCCTATGAGTGTCTAGCTAATGAGTTATCTCAACGTAATTATTTGCAACAGTTGCAAACGATTCAATTGAACATTGGCACAAAGAACATGAAACAAAAGTTCAAATATCGGCGGAAGAAACGACCGTCGGAATCCAAATGCAAGGAAAGTCGCGTGTTTTTATCTCGGCGAAGAACACCTGAGGAGATATGGCAAGCGTTTCAACGTGAAGAGGAAGAACTAGCACGACAAGAGTTTCAGACGAATGGGTTTGACAAGATGTACTCTACGCCAAGTATTGAGACGAATATCTCGTCGACGATTCCGCTAGAAATGCAACAGAATATCTTGGACTCTAATCTGGATTCGAAAGCGACGAAATGGGCGACATGGAGCAAGCCGTCTTCAAAACGGATCCGGATGACCCAGGAATCAGAATCAACACATGAGACGAATATCGTTCCTACGACTACGAATGCTCGTGACATCTCGGCAACTTTAATTTGTTGTACGCTATGTCGACGAAAGTTTCGAACCATTGACGCATTAAATCGACACAACACTTTATCCAAGTTGCATTTCGCAAACATCCAAGCTCAAGAGCGTCAAAACTCAAAGGATTTTGTATAGTTTTCATAACAAGATTTTGTCTAGTTTTCATAATAGGATTTTATCCTTTTGTGAGCATTTATTACGGAATACACTGTATACATTTCATCAAATATGATAAAAACCCAGTCAGGATACGTATACTTGTTTCTGGAAAGAAATTTACCATTGTTTTTACCACTAAAGTTTGTAACTAAAGTAAATTCCCGTCCAATAAAAAAAAACAATGGCAGATGATGGTAATAAATATCCGAGTGCTCTAATTCTAAATGTCGATTGTTTGCTTCACTAAGAATGAATTATCTCATTGGTATCATTTGTATCTTATCCTTGTGTATGTATTGATTAATCTTATCATATAGATGCAATAATACGTCGACGTTTACTTACTCGTACTAGTACCGTTGGCAAGACAGGGATTAAGAAATGTGCAGAGACAATGTTAACACTTGTGGACTTATTAATGGACAAATCAGTGGACGATGTTACGTGTAAACAGGAAATGGAAGCATTGTATTGGGAAATGGAACATTTAGAATTTGAAGCCAAGAAGACGGAGATTTGGAACTATACGTGTGATCGAGAATTGGAAGAGTACGAGACGTTAAATCGTGAGATTGATGCGTCAATTACTAAAGTGATGAAGGAGATTGAAGAATTAAAGCAAAAAATGATCAAAGAAAAGATGATACGTGCGTACAAGGAAGAATACGAATCCATTGCTCGGGTTGTTAATGAACTACCGTCCAGGAAAGAAATTCTTGTGGACATTCAAGATGAAAACAAACGACTGGAAGACGCTACGACAGCCCTTGAGGCAGTAGATGGGAAACTGGATATGCGTATAAAGCAGTTTGCACTGTTGATGAGCACCATTCAGAATTTAAAAGCTACACTGGATGAAGATACTGTGGTACACGAGGATGAACGGCAAGAGGATGAGGACATGGAGGAGGAGGTGGAGGCCAAGAATGCTGTTTCCGTCAATGAAAATGGTGCGTGAGATGCGTGATAAAAATAGTTTGTGGTAACGCGACGAGGTATAACGGGTAGCTGCGGACATTTGCAGGTCGATCACCGTCAGCTTCATGATTATGCTGATGCATCTGGCTTTCGGTGCAAACAGGTTCTGTGACAACTCCAGTGACATATACATGACGATCTTGCGTTAACATCAAGCTACTCACGTATAATTCTAGTTTTGGTAAACAAGCTGTAGAAGCAGCATGACCTATCACTTTGTTACACTCATAGCTGTAATCGACTTAAAAAATGGGAGTCTTCACTTCAAAATTTGCCATAGATCTGCGCATGTTCATTCGCTGCGACTCTAGAAGAGTAGACGCCTATTGCGAACCTATTCGTCTGCATGTCTACATATGTCTTCGTACTCGACACGATCCAAGATTTCGCCTCGATGGGGCCCTGAGTCAATTCGAATGCGAGCACAAAAGTCAGCAACTGAGATAGTGAGTAACTTTGCCGTGCATCCGCGCCCGAGTCCATTAACTATTTTCACCTTGCGTCCTGGTTTCGGGATCACCGTCTCTAGGTCATCCTGGTCCAGTCGCAGTACATCTCCAGAATCCAGCAGCTTCACAGTCGCACAGAACTTATCCTGCACGTCCTTGACAACTCCCTTGCACTTGTAATACTTGCTGTCGCCAACTTTTTTATTTGTCACTTTGACCACAAGCCCAGTAGTGACCCAGTTCTCCTTTCGTAAACGTTTCGACTCGTCCTCTAGCCGTCGACTCTTTTCATTCCTATATCGTTCTTCTTCCTCCATGATAGTATCGACAGCATGTCGCTTGCCTAAACATGTGACCACTGACGTCGTCCTCTCTCCTATCTTTTTATCCTCATCTTGATTCTCTCCACCAAACACCGTAGCAGCTTCTGCAACACCACCCACTACATCACTCTCCTTTTTACCACCTTCTTTCTTTAGCACAATTCTAATCTTGTCTCGATTTTCTCCACGTAACAACTTAGTCGGTTGCTGCATCGTTCCCACTGTTTCGTTTTCACTAGCAATCTTAAGCTGTCGTTCAATAAACAGTCGATTTCGTTCTTCATGGTCCAACTCGGCCTTTTTCTTCTTTTCCAGTTCCTTTTGTCGAGCAATGGCCTTTGGATCACGATCAATATACTGAAGATGCCATCCTTTTTCCGTCTCATCCACAACGCACTTGCCTGTTCGTCCCAAATACTGCACAAAACTTCCAAGTGTCTCCCATTGTGTTGCATTCATATGAATGTGCATTTTATCCGCTATATACTCATTATAAACATGAGTCGCTCGCATTCGTTTCGTTCCATGACGTCGTCGTAGATTCTCAAGAAAAGCTTCTTCGAATAATTCACTGTATCCACTCATGAATTTATTTGGATCATTGGCGACAATTAACATTTGTCGTTGATGAGCTTCGGACATTGTATGACATTTGAACCCATTTTCATCACGACACTGTTTTTGACAAATTTGACAAAACCAACGTAATTTTTGAAGTCCTTTGGCCTAAATTTGACATGTCATGGTGAAAATTACAATCAAATTATGACAATGGACAAAAAGAGAAGTTTATGGAACGACATGGAAACGTACTTTCATACGAATACCAATGGCTTTAGGTGTCAAAAAGTCATGCTTTCCCATGATATGACTGGTGTGTGTGTGAGTTAGAGAGAGAGCAGCAGTTGAGTGATAATGGAGATTAGTTTAGGGATATGAAAAATTACAATAGTGAATTAGAGACATTGATAGTTGAGAAATAGAATATATCGATTGGGACAAAATTATTGTCAAAAGGTGCGAGCTTATCTTACATTATTACAATAGAGGAGAAAAAGTCGTTCTTGTTAGTGTGAGTATTGCAAATACAAGTATTATCATGTGGTATATACCGGTATATTCTTTTAATTGTGATACTGTGATACTTGTTCGAATGAGTAACATTCACTTTAGGCTGTTGTAACGAGTGTTTTATCGAAAAAGCAGCCGGATTTTGATCTTATCGTTTTGAAATTCCAACATTTGTCAAAATGTCGTAAATTAGAGCTATTTTTCTAGTCGACGGGAGATCGTTATTGTGCTTGAATGTTTGCTTATATTGAGTCGATCGGAAGGCTCGTAGCCATATTGTCGAAACAGACGGTATCAATGTTTCCAAAGCTCTTGGTGATGTCAGTACTAGTGTGAATGGTCTCATGTATCACATTACAGAGGCTCTATGGCATAGTAGTCATGACTATTCTTCTTCATAGATATATCACGCTAATGCAGCAAAGCTTTCCGGTATAGGACATAACAAGTTCCAGAGCAGCGGGCATGAATGTTAACATCAGTGTTCACCTATCTATTCTGCTTGGTATGCGTGACTTGACCTAGTACGGCACTCTTTAGACGCACGAGCGAGTCCTCAAAATTGTTGTCAACCAACTCCAATTTGTGAATAATCGAGTGTTTTTCTTCCTTCCATTTCGTAAGAGTTTGTTTGAGTTCTTGTAGCATTTCCATTGGCAATGGAAACATGTTTGGCGTAAAGCAAAGCTCAGCGGGACTTTTCTTCTGTTTCGACACGAAGAACAAGATGTTGTCACTCACATAGTGAGTTTGAGAACATGGTATCTATCTTGATACGACACGCTAACGTACCGTTTCAGTAACAAGTTGATAGAAGCCCACCAAATCGAAAGATGCATCTAGAGCTGGAAAACCACAATCTAGGAAATCAGAGGCTACGATGATTTGAACACATGTTTCGGAGCTCGTATCCAACCCCGACTGATCTCCTGACACCAATGCCGACCAGGAACTTAGTAACGATGTCAATCGGGGATCGATGTCGTGGATTTCCTCGGAATTTTGTCGTATAATGTCGCTCAAATTCATGCTGCCAAGTGATTGTATCATATTCCCATCACCACGCAACGATGCTTCACTTTCTAAAAAAAGATCTGCTGCATCACGAGACATATCCTTCGTAGCTGACAGTAATGCTGAGAACCATTGGGATTCAACCCTTTGTTGTTGAATTTTGGCTTGCTGAATCTCGCTCCCATTTGTCGAGCTGTGGAGAGACGAACAACCAGGTGGAAGTATTCCTACAGGCGGCAACACTCCACTCCAATGTCTCGCAAGCCTGGAAGCTGTACCTGCTTGTTGCGGGGATTTTGATTCCAAGTAGACGGTGCTGCTGATATAACCAGTAGAAGAGCAATCATTAGCATGAAAAGACGCCGGATAAATACACAGGATTCATCCAAACTTGCCTGTAAAGTAGCTTAGAAAGCGAGGCGTAGTCTTTCCACGAACCAATGTTTAGATTCGTTGCCACAGCAGTGGAATCGAAACCATTTGTTGGCTCTTGCTTGATCCCAGGGCTAGACATCTGAAGAAGACTTTCAGCGAAACTATACGGAGACTTTAATGCGAATTCGCCACCACTGCTCACAACTATGGGTTGGTCTGGCCGTTCAAAATTCTTGTCCGTAGACCATTGGAGCGATTGATAAGTTGTGTCATGCGATGCTCTTCGACTTGCCGGCGCTTCAGTCGGTTCTAAATGAATTTGCATGCATTAGCAGTCAGTTTACGTCCACACACGGGTGTCGATTGATCTGACATGAACTGGCAGAATACTGTCAGCTCTATGTTTAAGTAACGTACTTACCCCCTTGCTCTAGCAGCAGCTTCAAATCACAGTCGTCTCGATGTGTTGGTATCTGTCCGTACGTCTCTTGACAAGATGGACATTTGTACACGTTAGAAAATGCGTGAGACAGTATCTCGTCTAATTTTGCTTTCGATTTGTCAATTATGTTTGCATGTACACGTTGCCACTGCAGGTTGTACAGCAAATCAAACGCTGCATTTGCCCACAAACAGATATCCGGCGTTTCTGGTGTAAACGGAGCTATAGTTTCTGACGCTCGAGGTGGAATCGTTTTCTCCATCTCTGCAATTACTGCAGTCACATTTCCAGCAATTGTAGCAGTAGCAGGAGATGATGGCACTGTAGCGTCACGCGACAATTTCCGACTCGGCGTTTCTGGCTCGAAGGAATGTTTGACCTTTTTCAACCTGAATGGAGATTCCGTCTCGGTATTCTCCTTCACACTCCGCTTCTTCTTTTTCTTCGACAGGACGAGCACCGGCCTTGACACAACCGATGGATTATAGTTGCATTCTCCTGGACACACTGGAACTGCAATTTCCACTCGAAAACGCTATCAAACATCAAGAAGAGAATACAAAACAGATCACAATTGATACACACTCAAACCCTCTCAACACATTTCGTCTCTTTTCATCATCATCGTTTATCTCACCTGATTCAGGTGGTTTTTCGACACTTGTGTAATACGTACAGCCAGTGTACTCTTTCTGTTATTATCAAGACATTGTCCTGCCATGACGTGCAAAATCTCTTGCTTTTCCACCACTTTACTGCAATTCAAATTCCTCATGGACGAATTAGTTGCTACAGATACTACATTCTCTCTGTACATTTCAGTCACGCACCCACTCTCATACAATAGACGCACTCTTAATATCCTTTGATCAACACACTGAGGACAGAAAAGCTCTGTTCGATTCACTTGTAGCTCAAATGTTGCTCTCCGGCCAAATTGGTCTTTATACCACGTCTCGGGCGGTTGCTGTGCAATTTCTAGCGCTGATTTTGCCAGATTGGCATCGTGATTCATCTGATTTAATACCTTGGTAAGCATTTCGTCTTGTGAAGTAGAAGGAGTTGGTGCTATTGCTACCATTAATACAGAAGAAGAAGAGGAGATGATGAAGATGATGAATGCTTGTGCTTTATAGGTGCAATAGCTTGACTTTCGAGAGTGTGTGACGTTTCTATTGCTGAAATACCATATTTAGAAATGAAGGAGGTTATAGTGTCTGGTTTGTATCATGAAATTCAGAAATATCGAATCGATTGACTAGGTTTGTTTTTCGGAAATTAGTAAATACTCATTTATACAAGAAACTCCATCTGATGGGATGCTGGTGCGAATGGCGAGCCTCCAAGCCACTGCGTTATGTATTGCCGTCTATGATCGTATGCATAATCGTGCACTTGTATTCAATCTTTGTTATATTCGCACATGATCGTATACTGAGGAATGGCGCGTTTCTTTGGGAATTACTTCTCTTTCACTGCTTCACGCTCCTGCTGTGCTGGTCGTTGGTCCAGACACTGTGGTCTAGGGACTCGTTTCTAGCTCGGTGTACGCTAAGTAAAGCTCAGATACAAGAATTGGCAGTGCAAGTAGCAGATCAAAATGACTTACGGATTGAAAGCAAACTGAATGGTGCTGTGCGTACTTGTCGCAAGTGTCGCGCACTGAAACCAGATCGGACTCATCATTGTAGTACGTGTAGACAGTGCGTGCTCAAGATGGATCATCATTGTGTTTACATTAACAAGTACGTAAAAGAAGTAAACGTTGAAGGTGATGGGCAAGTTGAAGTTGATGGCACTGGATGTTGCTTTTTGCGTGACAGGTGCATTGGATACTTCAACTACAAGTTTTTTGTCTTGTTCTTGGGCTGGAGTTCAATCACATGTTTGTACCAAAGCAGTCTGTTATTCCGCTATGTACTGGCGTATAGTTTAAATCAGACTACAAAACTCATGGCCTTGGGCAAGCTTCGACTCTTTGATCCTCATCTGCAGGTAGACGTTCTCCATGGCAATGTTTTAGTCATTGGTTCGTTTGTTGATGAGGCTGTGATGTTGTTACTGACTTTGACGATGTATGTTGCAATTATGTTGGTGACAAGACTGTAATCGTGTTTTTTGGTAGCACGTGTTTAGGACTGGCCTTGGCTTGTTTTTATATCGTGCATATGTACTTTGTTGCTAACAACTATAGCACTCTCGAGTACTGCGAAAAACGCGACGATCTGGATCATGTGAACTACTATAACGTGGGTCTACTGCGCAACTTTCAAGAAGTATTTGGTACTTTCTACGAGTTTCCATACTGGTTTATCCCGGTACATAGCCCCAGCTTTCGGAAGCGAGATGGAAAAACTTTTCCATTGAACAAGTTCATTAAAGCCGACTAGAAGAAGATAAATCAATGACCAAAGACGATGACACAAAAGTCATTGCTACAAGGTGGAACTTGCAGTAAGTTATGTGTATTGCTGCAAATTGTAGCTACATATCTCCTCACACACAAACACCGATCCGTGTCTCTTGATGGTGCCGAGGGTCAGTCAGTGATTCTAGGTTGGCTTGTGACAAGACAGGAGTGTTGTCAAGTTGTTATGGAGGTGGGTCATTGAAGCGAGTCTGGTAAAACGCTTGCAGGTGCGTGCATCTGCTTTGACAAAATCCATTATGCCGAAGATCGCTGCGCAAGGTCGTCATCGAGTGACGGTAGCATTTCTGGACCAGAGGCAGCAACAAGGTCTCTCATAGAACATCCTACATTGATAGATAGGCCAATGTAGTAGTTGTCAGCATACACAAGTACTCTGAATGTGTACAATCAATTGCTCTCTGGCACCGCGACTATTAGCTACAAGACAATGGAATCGTATGTAGTGCTTGGCTCGGTCAAGGTCACTCTTCTCATATTCTCTGAAATGTTACAGTGCGAGAGTGTTTTGACTTTGCTTGTTCACAGCTTCGCGATCAACACGTCCAGAATGGTAGCGAATTAAATGAAAATTTGCTCGCGTCGATCCGTCGCTTGTCGCTCAATAAGCACAGAGCCTCAGTATTTCCTTTCTTTGGTGTTGCAAACGCCTGCTTGATGTCGCCGGACCAAACCGAGGTCAACCGCTATTCCATTCAATCCAATTTGGAGTGCCAGCTTTTGTTCCTGTCGACAGTCGTAGCATTGCTGCCTGAACCTCTTCAACAAGTACACATAGCGTAGCTTGGTGCTTCTGAGATGCAGGCCTTGCTGGCCAAAGTTTTCTTTGCAGAAGTCACATTCAATCGTAACGGACGGACAGCAACACCTCGATGGTTCATGAGTCAAGAAAGCTTAGACCATTTACACGGATGTAAGTCGCAGCTTACAACGTTCTTCTTCTTCTTCGATCATCGACCTCCAGCACTAATGGCATGACTTAGTGGTTGTCAGGACGAAAGTAGATGTTCATAATGATAGCGCACATAGCCTCGTTTCAAGCCGACATGCAACACAAGTACCACATTGCGTTCATGCAAGTATACATCATCACTTGCAGCAATTAGCTCCTTACTTGGTTGTAAATTATCAAATCTGCTTTTCAAGAACCAGCTCGAATCTTTTTGATCTTGTATGAGTAAAGACCGACAAACAAGGTTTTGGAATGACAGAAGGTATGGAGAATGAAGAATATTTCGAGATAATTATCTCATCAGACGATGATTTATGGACGCTTTAGCTTAATACCACAGTAATAATATATAGCTTTGATATCAATCTTCCAGCATGACTCCTCCTTCTCCAGATCGTAACGCAGAATCACTGACTATCGTAAAGGCTGTTGACGGCTTTTTCATCCCCAAGACGCCGGTTGGAAACGATGCTACTCCATCACTGACACTCTTCAAGCAATTTCAAGTAGTGCCATCATGCTGGAGTGAGTTTCAGCAGAAGGTGACGCAATTGGCAAAGGAGAAGCGACGCGATGGAACTTCACGACAGATCAAGGTTGTGTATTTCTTGCGCCATGCTGAGGGTACCCATAACGCAGCCCACACCAAGTATGGCTCTCCTCGGTGGGAAGATGAATTTGCGCGCACCGACGCGTTCTTTGACGCCCCACTGACTTCATTTGGCATCAAGGACGCACAGAGTAAGGGGCCGATTAGTGTCCGGGCAGAGCTAGATCGGGGCATGCCGTCAATCGAGAGAATCGTGGTGTCTCCAATCTCACGAACCATTCAGACGGCTCAAAACTTTTTTACTAAAGACCAGGTGCCGGATAAAAAGTTTACGTGCATTGAGAGCTGTCGTGAGACGTTTGATTGCCATACGTGCAATAAGCGGCGACCTCTGTCGGAGCTCAAACGTACGTTTCCGGATGTGGATTTCTCGTGCATCAAAGACGAAGAGGATCAGCTGTGGTCAACGACGCATCGCGAGACGACAGAAGAGATTCAGAAGCGTGCTTGCGAGTTTTTGCTCGAGCTTTTCCGCGAGATTCCAGAGCGCTACGTGGTCGTAGTAGCGCATCTTAGCATCATTGAGGCAATTTGTGCCGTTACATTGGGCATCACGGTGCGTCCTCGTAACTGCGAAGTTGTTCCGATTGTGATTGAAACATTCTGATGTACTATGCTGGCGAAGAGAGGAAAGTAGATCTAATTATCGACACCTCAAGCATCACTTTACTACTGCTTTATTGTTACTTCAACAGCTTTCAATATGTTGTGTTGCATGTAAAACGAGAATATAAGTGTCATAGCTGAAGAGCACTGGACTACACTGTCTTTGCCCAGAAATATCAAGTATGGCACAAATGGAGCTATATAGCAGTAAACAAAAGACCCTGACAGCAAAGTTGTATTATAACAACTTCAGATTACTTGTCAACAATTTCTTGTCTATGCCGTACTTCAGCGTCCATTGACGTATTTCAGCGTCCGTGCTCAGATCACCTCGAGCACAAAAGGAAAGACTTCACAGTTTGCAGGATGCATTCGGACACCTAGAATGGCAGCATTTATCGATTCCATAAAGACCGAGTGTGTGACAACAGCAATACGTTGCTCGGGAATCTTTTGAAAAAGTTCCACTAAAAAACGCTTTGCCCGAGCTTGCATTTCTTCATCCGTCTCACGGTGTGTTGGTGTCCAGAGCATATCCTCTTCGTCCTTAATAGCTGAGAAATCCACGTCCGGAAACTTGAGCTTCAACTCTGAGACAGATCGTCTCTTGTCACATATGTGACACCCAAGAATTTCGCGACAGTTTTCCATGCAGACGAATGGTAAATCGGACACGGGAAAAAAAGTGCTTGGCTGTCTGGATTGCACGAGAAAGTGGTGAGACTACGATTCGCTCAATGGGAGGCATCCCCTTTTCTATCTCTGCCTTGATACTACTACAACCTTTACTATGTGCATCATTGACGCCAAATGCCGTAAGATCCGCGTCAAGATATTTGTCTTCAAACGCGAGTGTCGACTCCCATTGTTCGGCACCAGCTTCCTTAGCCACTGCATTGTGAGTACCCTCGGCGTGGCGTATAAAGTACACAATCTTCAGTTGTCGTGTGACATTCTTATTGTCGTCGTGTGTAGCCAGTAAAGCAAAATGCCGTTGAAATTCGTTCCATGATGGATGAACGAGCTGATGTCGCTTGAATAGTGGTAATACAGACGTAGTAGCCTCCACGGCAGGAGCGACAAGAACCTTTGGGACAAAAAAAACCCTCAACTGCTTAAACTGAGATAGCGTTTAAAGCAGTAATATCGTTGACTGCAGTAATATTGTTAACTGCAGTAATAGCAACGGCTGTGGTGTTGTTTTCGTAAGACGAATCTTGAAGTTTTATCGTCTTTGTCATTTCTTTATTTTACGTGGTGGTCGTGGACCTTTCTAAAGATGTGACAAACATCCAATGGCATCCGTCTCGCAACTGTTAACGGACACAATTCTTAGATCGCAAGTGTCAGATATGAGAATAAGAAAAATCAAGTTGAAGTGAAGAAAGTGCAGTTTATATGTTGTTCATGATTGATTAGTTCAAAGAGAGAGAAGAAGCAGACTTGTCTATTGTGTTTACTATATAGTTAGTCGCTGTCAAATAGTGTTGGAGCAGTTAAATTACCATTCTCTTATTACATTGACTGAATTTCTGTTTATTGGTTGATACATGAGTGCAGTTCTTGTGTGTAAAATGTTTGGATGCTGGAAGATCCTTGAAGTAACAAAAACATGTTGACGAAAAAGGTTGCGGCAGCGACAAGATCGATGGATGCAACTGTTGAGAAGAGACCCATGAGCATCACATCCTCTAATTTCTGCGACACTTGTTACTTTTTGTAATGTACAAGTGGCGCAAAATGGTGTAAAAAACAATATAGTAAAAAAGGATGATCACTACTTACTCTTTGTCATATGCTTGCAGGGTTTATACCAGCTGTGCAGGAAGAGAGGTAGAAATAATACCGGTAATGTACCAATTTATGCTTCAAGGTGCCGTCAATATGAAGATTGATATAAAACGCTGGTTATTATGACGAATTCGAACCAATCATTATCCCGTATTTCAGTTTCCTGTACCCATTTGTAGCTTCCTTACAAATTCTAACTGGAAAAATCGCAATTATTTATTTTTCTCAGGTTGAGAAAAATCAGAAAATGGACGAGGTAAAAAAGGGTGAAAAGTCTTATTTGTATCATTCTTTTATTTGCTTCACGTCCAGCAGATTCGCTTCCACTGAATATTCTCTATCTATTATTGTTATTCTGATATTTTATTATTTATGAAGATATTTGATCGAAATCGTTCGAATCTACGATTTCCTCAATCAAAACGTGTGTGTCATGGCCCTTCAATCTTACTACTAAATGATGTTTCGACCGTAGCCATGCCTCCATCATTGCAAAAGCCTCCATTACCACCACTGAAGGATTTTACTGGCTCGAAACCTCCCTTAGTCTCTCCAGGACCTTGCACTGCTTTGAATAACAGCTCGCACAAATTCGCCGAGCTACGTTCCAAGTACTTGGACGATATTACAATGGTCATTCAGGAGCTTAAAGCCGTCCTCACATACGGTCCTGGTTCAGCATGTCCAGACTCACCAGTACCTCCATCGGTCGTACTCAAGTTAGTACGCACTGTTCAGACGCTTGAAAAGCTGCGTGCATTATTACTAATGAACCCTGCAAGATTACGTCGAGTATCATGTGCACAAATGGAGACTGTTGAGCAGCAGATTCGAATGAATTTGCTTCCAATTGCAACGTTGTTCCGTAGCTTTGATCATGAAAGACAGAGTGATAAACATCAACAAGATGCTGTGCCTGCGATTCAAGATAGTGCAGTCAAGATGGAACAGGACTGGAGTCAACAGTGTGATACCAACTCGCCATGCTCACCTTCAGAAGTGTCTGCAACGCCAATGCCTCAATACGACTGGCGATTTCTGTCCATGGCCCTTAGCCTACAGCTGTAGATTAGAGAGTTAAACGACTTTGCGTTGACAATATTCATTCGTGTCCTAGACGAATAAATCCATTCTAATTTATTCTAGGGGTTCTGTGGGGTTCACACTTGCCATGACGATACTGTACTGGAATATTCAAACAAGAAGACACGACGACATTTCGAACAATCTTTACCTTGCGACACTAAGGCAAATGATATACCATCGAGAAGCTATTGTGGATGATGCTCCGAGGCTAATACGTTGGAAGCTAATACACATGGAAAAGATCTAGAGAAGTGTTGACGGCGTTTGCGCTTTCCCACTGTCGAATCACTTGTCGAGAACGAAGGTCAGCTTGGCGTATTGGTTCAGGAATGCGATAATGGGAGCAAGCTCGAGCTATTGCTATGCTTGTATCTAGGGACAGCATGTGCCCCACAGACACGTAGATGGGATTCTTCACACCAGCTGTGCAGCACACCGCAGCACCCCAGACCTCAAGATCATACAGCAGACCTCAGTGTAAGCAGACAGTGTTTACAAGCACAAAGCCTCCATACATACAAAGCAGCAGCAGTAACTAACTAACCTTCCCAGACTTTCCTTGTAGCTTGACAATCTTCTGGTGCTCTTTACGAGCTCTGATCACGAGGCTTTTTACATCAGTCTTTGTCAGTCCATCAACATGAAGAAAGGTCTTACCAATACCAATGGTAGGAATGTTCTCAAGCACACCAAAGTGAGAGGCTAGACCAAAACCTTGTGGATGCAAGACTCCATTACCGTCCACTAGCGTCACGTCAGGCACGAGATCTAAACCCACAGAAACATTCACCAACGTTGGTTGATAGCACGTAAGTACTCAGACAGAACAAACAAACAATGTGCTTTGTTCATACCTGGACAGCGACGTCGTAGATCATGATACAGTTTTCTCAAAGCTGGAACTTCCCGGAAGGCCAAGAACCCGGTCATATACGGTGCTGGTAGTGATACATATGTAAACGCCTCATACAGGACAGTTTGTGACGGGTAATTGAGCACTACAATGGACGCACAAGCGTGTTCTTCCGACCCTTTTAGAAAACTAATATCCACTCCAGCGACTATTGTTAATACTTTAGAGGTCGTGGTGATTTCGTTTGTCTGGATTGCATTGTCTACATTTGGATGAAGATGCCAATGTGCGCTATCTATCTCGATCAATTGTTTCTTGAGGTCCAATTGTTCCTCTATGAGTGAGACCCACGAGCGCAATTGTGCAAAGGAGATTAAAAGACGTACAATACCTCAGGATAAACAGATCGAATGAAGCTAAGGACGTACTTTTCCACTGCTCACGCGTCACTGTGTCGCATTCGTTTGCCATTGTGAACTTGAGGCTTAGAAACACCTGACGCTGATGAGATCAATTGTGTTGTTGCATCAACCAATTGAATGAAGGGAAGTTGTCTATGACATAATTCAGTGGACGAGAGGCAAAGAAGTGGGTTCAAAGCGACGACCAAGCAGGTCCAACATGTTTTCATTCTTGTCATCCTTCATTCCACAGCAAGTACCGAATCTTCTGGCAGTAGCTTTTTCACCAACTCCTTCCGCTCAGCTGTAAGTTGCGCTGGGAAGCGTATCTCGTGGTGCACATGTAAGTTACCAAGCTGGGACGGGTAGTTGTGTACGGGCATGCCCTCGCCTTGTACGATGCGAACCTCAAAAGGCGTCGTTACGTCCGAACTGGTGAGCACCACTGTGCGATCATCCAAATGCTTCATTGGCTTCTTGTAACCCAACAACGCTTCCTCGAGCGAGATCTCCAAATTGTAGTGAAGATCGTCGCCAGCTCGGCTAGAAGAGATTACAAGGTAACGTCAGCCACATCACAAGCGAATGAAAAACAGCAAAAAAGGCATTACGTACCGGAAACGATTGTGAGGCACCTGATGCAAACGGAAAATGACATTACCCGGTACGATTCCTGGTCGTTGCTCACTCTCACGCTCAAAAACGATTTCATGCGTTGACGGCATGCCTCGCTCAATCTCAGCAGTAAACATCTTGTCTTCTTTCACAACCTTGTGACCATGACAAATTGGACAAGCCTTTTTAAAAGTCTTGCCACGTCCACCGCATTTAGGGCACGGTTGCTGCATTTGCACCGTAAATCCAGGACCCATCTTTTGGTTCACAAGTACATGCCCCTTGCCACCACATTTCTTGCACTTAATGGTCTTCCCATCCTTTGCACCCGTGCCACGACATTTACGGCAAATGACATTGCGCGTAACTTGAGCTTGTTTCGTAGCTCCATTGTATAATTCTTCAAGTGTCACCGACACGTCAATTCCTGCATCTGGACCACGTTGCTGACCACCACCTCCAAAGAAGGCATCAAAAGGACTAGAAGGGCGTCCTGATGAGTTTTCCTCACGTTCCAGACCTTGAAAACCTTCCAAATCAAACACTTGACGCTTCTGTGGATCCGAAAGCACTTCATAGGCACGTGATATCTCATGAAACCGGCTTTCAGCCTCTGCATCACCTTTGTTCTTGTCTGGATGATACTTTAGACTTAATTTACGATAAGCTTTCTTAATCTCCGTGTCCGTTGCTTCCATACTCAATCCTAGTGCTATAATATCATCATCATTATCATCTAATGTTAGTACACACCGCGATAAAGTATCCACTACCTGTCTCATTCTCCTACTCTAATACTGTACACCATACTCTCGTAAAAGTCAACGTGATCATGTGCATCGTGTGCATGATGCTGCTGGTCATGATCCTCCCCACCAAAATGAAATCCAAATGCTTGAACATTCGTTACAAATACTAGTAATTCCAACGCAAGCAGCAGCAACAAAAAGATAGAACGACGTCCTTGAGTCAGCATGATACTTAATGACGGATCTCAGAATACATGTCCACGTGGTGGTCACTTGTTGGTTACTTTCGTATAGCATAAAATATGTTTGATCATAGGTACCAATCCTGAAGTATCCTACCTACCAGCTTATATTTTCTTCAATAGGTCTGACTATAGCACAAGACACCACCGTTTGAAAAACGGACGAGTCTCATCTTGCTGTCCATGGACATTCACTCGATCAATCTTTGTAATGACTTTTGTACCAGTTGGTTTTCCATCCAGACGCTTGATAGCAGGAAATCGTCGTATAAGTTGACGGATATCGTGATCGGACAGGAACGGATCGAGATACCAATGGCGAATCTTCACACGGGTTTGTTGAATGCTACCACCACATGAATCGCTCTTGCCAATCTGCTCACAGTGGCTAAAGTTTAGTGTAGCTACCAATAGTGCAAGTGCATTGTGTGTGAATTGAAAATCACCACTTTCAATAAATACCGAGTCCGATACTGCAGTTGAAACACACAAACATTTGCATCCAGTCAGTCATTGATTAAACAGGTTTCAGTTGTCAGAATCATAAGCATAGCGGGTCGGTCACAAAGTACACGTACATTTCCAAGCCACAACGGTTGAGCTCTCTAGATTCCACTGCAAAGCAGCACGAAGTCCTACTAGGAAAGGATGACAACCAACATTGGGTAAATGCTTCTTAATGAATACCTCGACACGGTTCATCATTTTGCTGTAGTTCTCTCTCGAACGCAAGTAATCATGCTGAATACGAACGGACACTTGCGCTTCACCCTTGTCATTCGTCCAAAGCTTAAAGTTGGTTCCCTGACTTTCCTTTGCTCTAGCATGAAACTCTGCATACTACAAAGATATGTTACTATCTATACTTTAAAATCACAGCCCAACAGATCAATCAAGTAAGAAACAGTCACTCACCCTTTCATGAGAAACATGATCATGATATCTCGCTCGCACGTCATTCTTCACGACTTCCAGCATTTGAATTCTATTGCATGTAAAAACAATACATTTTGTTCAATTTTTCCACTCAACAGTGTCCTGTGTGCCTTGATGACTACGCACGTTCGGCTCAAATTCTCTTCATGACCAGGCATCGTGCACTTGAACAGTCCCAGCATCAGTACAAGCTCATTGAATTCTCCATCCTCAACTGTAGCGCCTTCTTCCGTAGCAATACTGCAAGAGTACCAATCAAGCATCAGTGATTTTTATCCACTACAAGTCATCAATTCAGCACCTTCAACGTGCCTAATTTCATCCCTTTTGCTTGCTTCATAGTACTCGAACACGCGTTTGGCCGCCCTGTCTTGATCGAAGTAAAACTTCGCACAGATTTCACGCCACCGCTGCTGACGTACAATGCTCTTGCTCTCAAGACTTTGACACTGACAGTCTATGACATACAAAGTATATAGTAGCAAGTATCAGTACTAGCGTCTCTCTATCTCATGCCATGAAAGCGACTAAAGCATCGACTCACCATCAGGATGAGTCATTCGATTCTTTTCTATCTATTTGTTGTCGAAATGACTAAAAATAGACAAAAAATGATGAGTTTTGACATGACGTTCTAATTGTTGTAATCATTCGATTGCGAGTAATTACACTCCGACATCTTATTATTTAAAAAGTCAAGTCAAAGGTTGATACAATTGATGATGTCGCTCGCTGTCATTTGTATCAACATATTTCTAAATGACATAGAATGAACACTTATTCGACAATGGCATTGAATCGTTTCTAAATGGCACATTGATCTGAATGTTTTCATACGCGATCATAATCCATTCATTTTTGAATCAACTTAACTAATTGCAAGGTTCTAATGTCAATTTTGTCTTGAATTAGTACACTCAAGTCTAAATATTGTGTACGTACAAGTCTAAACATTAGTACATACAAGTCTAAAAATTAGTAAAACCTCTAATGTCACGTGCATCACGTCGTGAGCGCTTAGCAGTGCTTAAACCAATAGGTGAAGTCTTTGTCAATGGCTTAGCATCATGTTACGACGACGAGTTTCCTGATTCCGAACGATTGGCAGCATTAATGACAGTCGCGGATTTCTCCGACGCTGTCAACACGATTAATGACGCTCTAATGGACCATTGGCCGTGTTTACCGTGTAAAGGATTTGGCTATGGCTGTTGCATTTGTACATTGGGATTGTCACTGTATTGTGCTTCAGCACAAGTGACAGAAGCAGAAAGTCGCGTACAACTTCAGTTGAGACGTTTAAATGACGAGACGAGATTCAAGGCAAAAGGAATTCAATGGCGACTTGAAAGGACGTGGTGGAGACGCACGTCGTTTGTGGAGATTTATGTTGATCCGGAAATTGCTGAAGCACGTAGTGATACTAGAGGAAGTGAGTGAGTGATCCTAAGAGATATCTCCTTTGAGGAGACATCATGGTGTCACCGCTATTGTATATGATTGTGAAGTAGTGTTAGCCAGCAAACATGTTGTCGAACTCATATTTGTACATTTGTACAATAGCCAGAGCTCAACCACTTTATCTTCATGACAATGTAGACTGCTTGGCAATGTGACGGATATGAGTCTAGTAGATTAGATGGTCGGCAATACATTGTTTCATACTTGAGCAATGTCAGAGGAGGCATTTTATTATCAAATGCCCCTTAGTTGAAAACTCGGTGCTTTCTTGCATCACTGAGACCTTATCATGTAGAAATCGTCTGATTGCTGGTATTAGACCGTCTCCGAATAGTCAAGATAAGACTCTCATACAGCATGTGGTACTTTTATATAGCAAGTAAGTACAAGTTGCTGTAAGAAAATAACGTGTTGGAAAGATAAACAGTCTTAGTATGAAACTTTGTTCTTAAATCCTCGAGATTTTGGTCAGACCAAAAAAAACTACAGACAACCATGAGAAATGAAATAAAAGCAGCAAGAAAATACCATTTTTTACTCTAACATTATAGTCCTACCACTTCATGTTTAAAAAACTGAGATAAAACCAATAAAAAGCACGAAAAGTCGCAATTCAAAAAAGAGACAAAAAAAACCCAGTCTTTTTTAATATAGAAGACATTAACTCCTGTTGATAAAAAAAAAAGTCAGACAAAATACCTCAAGTCACGCAATAGTTAAGAAGAAAGATAGAGATAGATAATAGAGTTAATAAATCTGAGACCATCTCCTTATTCTTCCCATTGTCTACATTAAAAGTTTCATTAAAACCCCATGCAACACAAATAAATAGATAGACATAGACATAACACATAAAAACAAATAAGGTCAATCCACTATCCTCATCATTTCTCATTCGCCCACTTACTCCCACTCCTTCTCATCATCGACAAGATCATAAGCACGTTCTTCCCGTTCAAATGTTGTTTCATGCTGACTCCATCTTGGTGCACTATCATGCGTATACCCGTAATCAAAAAACAGCTCAGCTCCAACCTCAATTGCTTCTCGAGCAAATAGGCCAATCCGATGTTCTCCATTCGACGTAATCACTCGAACATCCAAATTTGCGTCTTCTTTTGGTTTATGATTGGCAAATTTCGCCTTATTCCCTTTTCGTGCCGCATCGACAACGTAATCACTATTGACACCAAATAAATAGCTCACAGACTTACGATCGTAGATTGCACCTCGTCGTTCGGCTTCATCGTCCGTAATGAGCTCACCGGTGTACTCGAGTACAAAGTCATCCTTGCGAATTGGTTCCAGTGCATAAGCTCCCCATCCGTGTATAGCAGAAAATGCTACACCAATCTTCTTTTGAATAGTACTGCGTAGCATATTCACGTTATGACAAATTCGGAGATGAGAGCTGCTTTGATGCTTGAATTCAGGGTGAAACATCATTACAGCTGCATCGCTAGCTCCACAATTGAAACAATAATCAGGATCACACTCACGTCCAGCACTCCAACATGGACATGCTGATGTGTGGCAATTGCCAGTTGAACACTTGCATCCCTGGAAACGATTCGGACAATCACGCGGACAAGAGCAAGCCTTGTTGCAGGAATGACCACGCTTTGTACACTCGCATGTTTCGTTACATACCCCATTGTGATTGCATGGCTCATAGCTCAATCTTTTCTCGCGATCGTAGCTCCGTTGTTCACGAATACGCTTGGCCAGTGACCTATTCAAGCTCACACCGACACCTCTTCGGCCTTTTCGCTGCTTTTCACTTGATATCAGCAATTCATTCTCTCCTCCCAACTTGTCTCCGCTATCTTTTCGCCTTTTCTCATCAGCCAAAAACCTAGAAACCTGTGCGCATGTACATCTTGGACTCTTTAGCATGGCTGCAATCATGCAAGCGTTTGGCCCAAGCGTTGACACAAGTTTTCGAACTAGCACAGAATCAACCTGCTTCAGAGGTGCGCAAACGTCACTTGGATTCATATTCCCACTGGATAACCAGCACGACGGACCGCATGGTTTTGTCTTAGACAACAGCTTCTTGAGTGAAGCTGTGACGGCAGGGAGGTAGGAGTTGTCCAGGTACTCTGACTTGTCTGCTGCCCGCGCAAACTTCTCTCGACGTCTTTTTCGCTTCTCCAGCTCAGCAAGTCGTTCCGTTTCTAGCATTTTTTCTTGAGTTCGCAGGCTTTTGCTCGCTAACGAGCTAATTCGAGTCTGTGCACGCCTTGACCTACGATATAGCGTAGTCGACTGACTCAAAGATGAGTGCTGGTCCTTACTCTCCTCTACCTCATCGTCAGAGGACGAACTGCCTATCAGCACAGCAACCTCTACAGGTAACGTTGACGAATATGGACTCGCATCTTCAGCACTCAAATCTATTTCTTGAATCGGAATTTCTTGTCGGGCAAGCACAATCCCTGGTACAGTTACCATCGGATAGATCGGGTCCGTGCGAACGCTTCGCTGAGGATTCTGAATTCCGTGCTCAAAGCAGTCGTAAAAGTAGCAGCGCCGACAGAATAGATCCCGATGCCACTCAGTTAGCCCTTCATATGTAGGTCGGTCACGTATGCCTAGTGTCTCCGGTGAGTCTGCGTAGCTCGACTCAAAAACTGACAACGGCGGCTGTAACCTCAATGATAACGATTGTGGCTCAGATTTGTCGTGAAGAAACCAATGTGGCTGCGCAAGTTTGCAAAGCGATTTAGAAGCATTCACCTGGGCAACCGATGCTTCTGCTGTTTTGTCTGGAGATGATTGTTGTTGAAGCGCAACTAATTCCTTTACCTTCGCAACTCGGCTTGTTATACGTCGCTCTGTTTCAGCGAGATCGTACATGCTGCAATAATCCATGCGTGGCCGGTTAAAACCCCATTCGTGTTGGAGCGCTAAGAACACTTGCTCCGACGCTCCACATTTTCCAACAATAACTCGCAAGAGATACTCCATAATTTCGTCATCCGGCGCGCCAGGATTTAATACTGTCAACTCTTCACCCTCCCCAAACACAGCAATACGGCGCTCTTTGCTCATAGTTGTTCCTGAGTAGAGATCGTTGTCAATGACCATACGCTCTCCATCGCCCAGATAAGGCACATACCGTAGAATGGGGTCATCTTCGACAAAAGCATTCTTACGGATACCAATCATGGTGAAAGACCGACTAGTAGCTGAGATATCATAGGAAAGGAGAGTGATAGTTTCTGGATACAACAACGATCCGAGATGCATTTGGCCTTGATGCACATAATAACGCACAACCCCAACCAAACAATTGTATGGTTGAAATGTATGCATAGAATTCTGCAATACTCGCTTGGCAGCAACACGCTCAGTCGGGGACGCACTTGACCAGGAGTGGTGGTCTGCTTGATAAGATATGGCATAAACAAAAGTAATTGTCAGCGCAGGCCAAACGTGTTAAGCCGCAGGAAGACAACTAAGATAGGCGACCACGTACTTGCAGTTTCAGACCACTGGAGGCGCCTGTACCGTTCACTACGCAGCACTTGATAAGCTTTAAAATATTCAGATAGCTGATTTCGCATTTCTTTCAAAGTATGACGCACTCTGCGTGCATGGCATGTTTTGATTTCCGGCAGCTCTTGCTTTGCCAATGCCCGCACCTGGTTATTGACTTCTGATTGACTTGGCGGCTACGGCCATACGATAAAACAACAATCAACACACATCCAATTTCGATGTATCCAGTCATGACTGAGCTGTCTACTCGGAGTTTAGCCAGCTTACCTGATTTTCAGAGTTATCCACAGTAGCGACAACGCTAGCATCCACTGCTCTAAGCTCGCACTTTTTCTTAAGCTCTCCCGTTGTGTCAAATGCCCAGAGAGGCCTGTCAGATCCTACAGAGTAACAATTGTCAGCAGACACGATAGGCAAGCCCGTATTCGTACACCACGCATCATGTACCAAAGGAATATGGAACTGCCGATACGCCTCCTAATATATTCGGCGGTGCTTCTTTAAAAGCTAGCCGTCGCCACGCCGTCGAATGCATTACTGGATTTGAGGCCTTTTTGATGGGTGTTGCTGTGCATTCAGCAACGGAGACTAATTCAGCACTTGATGCCAAGAATCCGTTTCGACAGGGTGGAGCAATGCAAGTTGATGACGACAAAGTGCCAATAAATTCCTTTGGGTTGAACCCCATTCGAGCACGACAACCACTACCATTCGTCTTGGATGTAGTTGTGCTGTGTGCACTATTCCCCCCTTTCCGCACTGTTGACAACGAATTACGCTTCTTTTGCGCATGAAAGAATAACAACAGCTTTTCCTGCTCTTGCAGCTCCCGTAAAGACATTTTTTCTGCCAACCGTTGCGTGTCCCTTGCGCCACAAACAAAAGTCCTCGAGGAGGCCTGTGCAGCATTACTTCGACAGTGCAAAGCAAACAGCAAGTTTTCATCCCGCCTCCTTTTTGGTGGATCCACTAAGGACCGCTTAGAGGTGGCATTATTGCGCAAGTTTACCTTTTCTTGACGCCTCGACATCGGTACTGTGACAATTTCAACTTCGTCATCTTCACTTTCATCGTTGCTCTTTTGCTCTTCACTTTCCTGCTCACTCTCTACTTCACTTAAACTATTTTTTCGTGCCTTTATTGGCTTGACTCGCTGCCTTGTTTTGCGTTCCGCAGTCTTATGCTGCAAGAACCGCTTCGTACAAGCCATGAGTGGCTTAGCACCTGGCTTGTGATAATCACTACGTTCCCAAGAAACTGGTATTTCCTCGTCATTTTCGCAGCTATGTTCCATCATCCGTGCGTCCACGACCGTACCATTATGCTTCTGCTTTCGCAAATATTCCCTCTGCGCTGACTTTTTTGTAAATGTGTTCCACTCCTTTTCCTCGTCTCTCACCTCGTTTTCTTCACTTTCACTCTCTTGATCATATGGTTTCGTCACGACACATACCGAGGGAGCTGATTTTCGCACTTTATACGTATAAAAGTGTTTTCTTGCTCGTTCTTTTCCACGCACGTCACTGGCGTTCATTCGATTGTCCATCAATTGACTTGATTTGTCACACACTTGTTCTTCATGTCCATCATAGCCACAAGCTACCAAAGGTCTCGTTGACTCAAAATAATTCTCATTTCCCGATACTTTTCGTCGTTTCTGTGCTCGAAAACGTGCTATGATCTGTTCTTGAGCTTGTAATTCATAAAAACTCATTCCTTCTGTAATCTCCTGCATTTCTCCATACACTTTAGTAGTACGATCACGTCTTCCTCGACGTGTTAATGATGATGATCCTCCTGCTCCTGCTCCTGTTCCTGGTGGTGGTGCTATTAGTGCAACAATTGACGTTCTTGTAGCACCCACATTCCTCTGATTCTTCTGTTGTTTCTCGTCAACAACATCGTCGTCCTCCTCACTTGTCTTTCTAGTCCTCTCACTTGATTCACCTCGCTTTCTTGAATGATTCATGTGTTGCTCATGTCTTTGTATACGTTTTATATCGGTCTTTTTTGTACCCATTTTACAATCATTCTTCTTCGGTTGACTACGACAACGACGTGGTTCGGAAGTATTTGCTGATCCTTCATCACTACTACTGCTCAATAGCTTTATTCCTACTTTATGGTCACCTATCATATAAATACAGATAGTCAGAGAGAGAGAGAGAGAGAGAGGAGTGAGTGAAGGTATACATTACATACCCATTTCATTGGTCAGGAAGAGTGAATGTAATACTTGTAAGAATTAATCTAAAAAGGAATGAAGTGTGACAGGTTAAGGGTACACATTATTAACTCGGACGACATTGAAACCACAATACGTAACCCCCTTTTTTTTATTCGAGCTCCCCTAATTAGAAACTGGATAGTGTTTTTGTTTTACAAAACCGGGTGTGTTTTATTACAAGTTGTTACGTTTGACTGACTAACACATTTCATGACGAGAAGGTTTGACATGTGTTGAAACGACCGCTGGAGACTCCATAGGTACATCACGCTTTGTCTCATTCAATTGGGTCGCATCCACTAAAGACGGTAACGACGATACGGGTGAAGGAACTGAGTGATCTATTGAAGACCAAGTGGGAGTAAAAGATGACAACGGGATAAAAGCTGGAGCTAGAACTGAGGCCGGCACTGAAGCTGGCACTAAAGCTGGCTCAGGGACTAGAGCTGGCCCAGGGGCTGGTACTGGAGAAAGCACTGGTGCTGGCCCAGGGGCTGGTACTGTAGGAAGCACTGGAGCTGGCACTGAGGCTGCTACTGGAGCTGGCACTGAGGCTGCTACTGGAGCTGGCAGAGGGACTGGGACCAATGGGGGCTGCGATGGGTTACAGACCCTTTTCTGGCCTGAGCAAGACTGTTGGTCGAGGCTGCATGAGTCCGAATCATTACACAGAGCATCCAACACATAGTTCCTCTGTCTTCTGATTCACATTTACACATGGTTGCGCATTGTTCCGCGTCTCCGTCGTGGTTTCTGTTGCAAACCACCATACAAGTATCTTTAGGCCCAGACGCGCTATCCATCGACCTGCAAACTTTAAGCAAACAAGCACCATCTACCGATGCGGCCAGGTGACGACCAGGAGCGCAGCCCAGGAGCGGACGATCTGATTCATGCCCTTGTCGCAAGTAATGCGCAGAGGCGTTCATGTGCGTCTCAAAATCCATCTGCCCCACCATGTGCTGATAAGACGGCAGCAACGTCATCTTGCCAAACCATGCACGTATCAGCCGCTGTGTCGGCATCATCTGCATCTCGGGTATGCGCATGGCGTGCGACACGGGTGGCAGATCATGCGACGAGTCCACCCACTTGTTGAAGCCAGTACCGACCATGAGCGTCACGTAGTCGGGCTCCAGAATAGGTTGCACGAGCTGACCGTCACGCGTTCGAATGAGAAGGCCTGATCCCAAGCCGTCCTCGCCGGAGGACGATACTGGCTCGAACGTGTGCTTGAGACCGCCGTTACTAACCTTGTAGAAGGCAGGTGTCGAGAACATGATAAACATACCGTTGTCCTCATGCATTTCGAGCGTAAAGTTCTTGTCGGGCACGGCGTTAGTGTTGATGTCAGAGAGCTCACTCATGAGCTTACGCGAAGAAGGCGGTTCGTACGCGTGAAAGTGATCGAGACGGACAGCATCCGTCATGAGCTTACGACTGGAGACGATTTGGCCGTAGCCGTCCTTCGTAGTAAAGTTGGTGGCGTCGAGTGCCGTGGCCACGCTGAGCACCACCATCTCAAACAGCGACGAGAATTGGCCGTAAACTTCTTTGTAGCCCGGGCACGTCGCATCTGTGGTAATGGCAGCAAAGTTGGCAGCCCGACCCGATGTTGTGCTGATGGTGTAGCGCTTTGTGCCATCCGTGAGCGTCTTCTGGTACAGGAACTCGGCGTTCGCCTCTTGAGCAGATACCGCACAGGCAGCAGCCATTTCAAGGTAGGTGCGACGTACTTGGGCGTACGACGGAACGTTGGAGAAGCTGATGATACCGTCTTTCTTGAGTGCGTTGAGTACTTCATAAGGCGTGTTTCCAGTGGAGAGGGTATCATAGTTGAAGACGGGAACGTGGAATGACGGCACGTTGTCTGCGAGGTTTACGGGTAAAGTGCTAACCGTTAGCATGGCGGCTAGACTGAGGGCCGTTTGGGTTATTTGGACCATCTTGTAGATGTCGGGTAGTAAGGGCTATGTGAGGAATGCCGAGTTGAAAGATAATTTCAAAGTGAGACGATAAATGTTGCCCCTCAGTAAAATGCTGTGTCTATCATATTGAGTATCTTTTCGTCGTGGTATGTAATGTTTTAGATGAAAGCATCATTTTGCAAGCGTCTTGCAAACCATGGCTTCAAATGGGTGGAGGAGATTCAAGGACGAATGGAAACCCATAGAAGCAAGTGCAGGACTTTGGATCAAAAGTGTGCAGAAGTTATTATTGATTCGTACAGCACGTTCTGAAATATTCTGAGCGACAAGAACAGGGCTCCTTCTTCTTCTGCAATATCAGACTCAAAATTAGCTGCCTCCGAGAAGATGATGTTGGATACCTTCGTCACGTAGGCAAATTAAAAACTTTGAGCTTGCAAAAATGGTTGTTGCTAAAGTTTCAATTCTACGCGGCGGCATATATCCAAGAAGACGGAGCAAAGCAATATCGGCTGCGATTCTTGTTGTTTATCAAGTTACATTTGCGCCTTTAAAACAGCATGCTGAGAGAGCCTGTGTTTTCTTAATTTTGAGAAAAAACAACCCATTCAATAATAGACTGTGCAACTTCCACAGACAAATCCTGCACTCATATGTATGCATTACATTGAACTAGAGCATCCTCCAGTCGTGATGCGCAAGACGTTTCTCATGATGATTTTCTTCTATCTTTAAACAAAACAGTAGAAGACCTGTAGTGGAGTCACATAACAAGATACCATAAGATCTAAAATCTTTAGATTTGCTTTGGTTATACCATGCCAATGGCCATGCCAAAGCAAATTTAAGAAGATCGCAGACGGTGGTATCCAACATAGTCCGGATGACGGAAGAAAAAGTAGTATATTATTGAATGGCGTGCTTTTAGCAAAGCTAAAAGACCTTCAGCACGCCATGCTAGTCCAGATTTTGGCTGTGTTTGCTTGCGTTATTCCATTTGCCGCAAGAATTGCCGTGTCAAGGCCGATGCTGGAAATATCTCGTTGCAACCTATTGCTGCATGAACAAACAATAAGACGTTAAATCTGCTCGAGCTATTGCTCAACCCAAAGCAACTCTGAGCAAAATGAGATCATCATGAAGGAGGCGTCCTTCGTCGTGATGCTCCAGGGCACCTTGTAACCAAAGTTTAGTTAGTAGTAAGCAGCAATATTAAACAAGTTTTTTGTAGTTGTTTTAGCTCTGGTTAGAAGAGACAATGTGTTGCGTGCGACGACAAGGCAATGAGAAGGGTCCGCCTCTTGTGCCAAACTTGTCCATTAACTAAACCAAATAATCGTGGTCAATCTGTGCAAGTTTTTTGCTGATAGGAGACGCTAGTCTTACGAAGATACAGTCAATGGACGCTAGACTTACGACGATACAATTAGTGGATGCTAGACTTATGAAGGTAATATCAATGTGGACAGTGTAGTAAGTCTACTGACGTATTTGCAAGCACAGGCAAGTCTCGACATACAATTTTTCGTATTCTTGCGTGATATCGACAAGAGACTGACGCAGTCGATGTCGCAACTGACAAGATCGTTATTTATTAGAAGAAAAGGAGTGTTGGAACACTTTTGAGCTTGCCATAGATAACACATGAAAGGGCCATACCGGAGATTGTTTTCTTCTAATAATGGCTTGCCACGAGTATTGAAAGAGAAGGCAGAAGTTTCTAACGTGATTAATAGACAAACGGACCCCCATTCGACAACATTTGATGTCGAACAGAGCTGAATTTAAGCATAACATCCCCGTTCTTGTCTTTAAGAAAAACATCCCATTCAATAATAATCAGTGACGCATGCGTCTGAAGGAAAACTCTACATTCGTGTCCATTTCTTACCTTCAACTTAAGCCCTTTCTTACACTTACACTAGGAATCGTGATTTGCAAAAAAGGAACCACCTGATCAACGTGGCGAACAGATACGAGACAGCATGGATACATTGCCTTGTCTGAGGCAGTCTGATATTGCAGAAGAAGAAGGAGCCCTGTTCTTGTCGCTCAGAATATTTTAAAACGTGCTGTACGAATCAATAATAACTTCTGCACACTTTTGATCCAAAGTCCTGCACTTGCTTCTATGGGTTTCCATTCGTCCTTGAATCTCCTCCACCCATTTGAAGCCATGGTTTGCAAGACGCTTGCAAAATGATGCTTTCATCTAAAACATTACATACCACGACGAAAAGATACTCAATATGATAGACACAGCATTTTACTGAGGGGCAACATTTATCGTCTCACTTTGAAATTATCTTTCAACTCGGCATTCCTCACATAGCCCTTACTACCCGACATCTACAAGATGGTCCAAATAACCCAAACGGCCCTCAGTCTAGCCGCCATGCTAACGGTTAGCACTTTACCCGTAAACCTCGCAGACAACGTGCCGTCATTCCACGTTCCCGTCTTCAACTATGATACCCTCTCCACTGGAAACACGCCTTATGAAGTACTCAACGCACTCAAGAAAGACGGTATCATCAGCTTCTCCAACGTTCCGTCGTACGCCCAAGTACGTCGCACCTACCTTGAAATGGCTGCTGCCTGTGCGGTATCTGCTCAAGAGGCGAACGCCGAGTTCCTGTACCAGAAGACGCTCACGGATGGCACAAAGCGCTACACCATCAGCACAACATCGGGTCGGGCTGCCAACTTTGCTGCCATTACCACAGATGCGACGTGCCCGGGCTACAAAGAAGTTTACGGCCAATTCTCGTCGCTGTTTGAGATGGTGGTGCTCAGCGTGGCCATGGCACTCGACGCCACCAACTTTACTACGAAGGACGGCTACGGCCAAATCGTCTCCAGTCGTAAGCTCATGACGGATGCTGTCCGTCTCGATCACTTTCACGCGTACGAACCGCCTTCTTCGCGTAAGCTCATGAGTGAGCTCTCTGACATCAACACTAACGCCGTGCCCGACAAGAACTTTACGCTCGAGCTGCATGAGGACAACGGTATGTTTATCATGTTCTCGACACCTGCCTTCTACAAGGTTAGTAACGGCGGTCTCAAGCACACGTTCGAGCCAATATCGTCCTCCGGCGAGGACGGCTTGGGATCAGGCCTTCTCATTCGAACGCGTGACGGTCAGTTCGTGCAACCTATTCTGGAGCCCGACTACGTGACGCTCATGGTCGGTACTGGCTTCAACACGTGGGTGGACTCGTCGCATGATCTGCCACCCGTGTCGCACGCCATGCGCATACCCGAGATGCAGATGATGCCGACACAGCGGCTGATACGTGCATGGTTTGGCAAGATGACGTTGCTGCCGTCTTACCAGCACATGGTGGGGCAGATGGATTTTGAGACGCACATGAACGCCTCTGCGCATTACTTGCGACAAGGGCATGAATCAGATCGTCCGCTCCTGGGCTGCGCTCCTGGTCGTCACTTGGTCGCGTTAGTGGAAGCTCCATCTAACGGTTTTTGGCCTCATTGTGCAAGTTACTGCCAACAAAATGGAAAAGCAGCTTGTAAGGCATATGATAAGTGCAATCCATATTGCGATGGTAGCTGCTAACAATAGAAGAGTATCCCCTGACATTACGATGTTGTGGCGCACCAAACAACAGTTCTCTGAGGATTATGACAATGCGTTCTATGACATCTATAAGCCGTAAGAGGCAGTAAAAGACTCATTCAACACGAAATAATCTTGCCTCTCGTTACTTATGTCTGCTGTGGTTAGCGGGTATGCGTCTTATCTATTAAGAATGGGTACATTCGTTATTAACAAATACGAACTTATGTAGCCAAAAAGTCTTTTATGGTCCAAACACAATGGTCAGAATCAAAGTTTTTACCATCTTTTTTCCTATTTTTATATCAAAACGAAGGATTTGGTTAAAGTTACGATACTATTCGATCTGTTTAAATTTTACTCAATTCAAAAGACACACCCACAAGTCAAGCAGACGACGACACATGAACAGCTCTACTACCACCAGCTTTAGTCATCTGCGGCTGTTGCCCGTCGATTATCACCGTCAAGTCGCCCACGAGCTTATCACGTTTTTTCATTCTTTCTATCGCTTTGGCTCAGCTTCGAACCAATTTAATTTAAGCTCGAAAGCTTATACAGACTTTATACAGAATGTTCTCTTTGGTTCACTCTGCATCGGTGCGATTGTCTTTCTCCTGCTCTCTCTTATCGTCATACGACGCACTATTTTGCACATTCCTAACGGTAACTATCCACTCTCGGTTCTGATACTTTCCAAGAGCTCTTCAATGAGCCACTTATGGAGAGTCTTAGCCAAGAAATGCATGAGTTCTGACAATAAACACTGTGTTGCTTTGTTATGATGGATACTATAGCTTCTGTACACCGCATTTTGACAAACTCTACGTCCGTGGAGCTCTTGGCAGTGAGTCTTTTCACGTTTCTAGCAATTAGCGCCCTTGCCGGACTACTAGGAGAAGCCCAAGTGGACTACAGTGCTGGCGTTATACTGGATACCATGACCAATACTAGCGATCTGCTTCAAGACGCACGAGATCTGACGACGAAAAGTCTACAGACAAGTAATGCCTTGCGTGCTAATGCTGACAATCTGGTCACATCGTTTAATGAGAGTGAACTGCCAGCTGCTGCGTTCAAGCTGTCGATTGAAGCACTGAGGCTCGTGCACACGTCTAAAGACCTATGGAATCAAACAGCGGTGCTACCTCAAAATTACTCAGATATGGCTACGAACTGGGAGTTGAGCTACTTTGCTTTAAAGTTATCGACGAACGGAGCGATTCTTGCCGTAGCGCTTGCCAGCTTCTTGTCCATCGCGTCAGTTGGATGGGCGATGGTCTCGCCTCTTCGTGTGTCCATTCTAGTGATCCTAAGTGTCGTGCCAATTTCGCACACGCTTCTTGGTGCATACCTGTCGTCAACAATCATGACAGCGGATTTTTGCGCTGCACCCATGAACAACACACTTAATCTTGTGGGCTCAACGCCAGTTGCAACCTACTATATTGAATGTCCGGCAAATGCGTCATTGCCTTTTGCTGACGGTGTGGCTAGTGTTCGACAAACTACAACAGAAGTGACTGCGTTGCAGCAGGAGCTGGAGCGCAACGCGACCGGTCAAGGAGATGCCGGTCGTCGCATGAAGAAGGAGTTTTTAGACCCCATTGGCAAGCAACTGGCGGATGTTAAGGACTTTCTGAATCGGTTTGAAGCCTCGCAGAGCTGCAAAAACGTGTCGACTGCGTTTGAATACGCCGCCACTACGTTCTGCGAGTATGGCATGCTAGGTTTTTTCTCCATGTGGGTGCACCAAATGCTGCTATGCCTGATCCTGTTCGTATGCGTCGTGGTATCCGTGCTGGTCTACGAGCGCGTGCACATTCGCGAGACGCAGTGTGACGTGCGTTACCATCTCGTGTCCCGTGACGAAGAGAATGACATGGAGCATGTTTACCTCTCGTCGGACTAAGTGATTCAAGTTGAAGGCCCTGCATTCAATCTGCGATTTTTGCTTCTTGTTTTGATAATTTGCAGCGTGCTTTGCTCACTGTGTTGCATCTCTTTTCTCCTTTGACTCCCTATGTCTCTTGTTCTGCATGCTGCGTGCTTTGGCTGAACTGGTCAGCGGCCAGTCGTAATACGGCATTTCGTCTGACCGAGACGCAAAGCAACTCTTGTCCGGTCTGATTGCGACGTCCTTTGTTGCCCGCAGAACAACACGTTTGTCTACAATCTTGTAGAGAGCTTCAGCTGAATGATAAGTCCCTCTACAGATAGCGGAAGGAAACCTATGCTCATTGATACAGCAGCGAAGGCGGAGTTTGGCAATGCATTTCCATTCGTTAGTATTGCAATGTTTACAAATTGGCGGCGGTCGGCAGTGACTTCTCGCTCATGACAATCTTATAAACGGCTTACTTGTGCAACTATGAGCTGAGTGAATCGTGCAACGGGGTTGTCGAGTAAGTAGAACATGGAGCTCCAATGATTGTTCAGGTCTATAGCGCCACCGAAGGGTAAGTACAGCATAGCCTCCTTGCTATGAGGCTAACTTGTATCAACCTTCACTCATCTTCGTCAAATCACTATACTTGTTTGCTGTAAACTTGCCACCTCGTCAAACCTCTCTACGATGCTCTCGACAGCTTCAGTGACCGACTCAAACACAGCAATGTCGTTGCGTTCTGCCATCTCGCGCAAGTACGTTCGAGCACGTGCTAGGTCTTTAAACTCGCAACCAGTGATCGGTATCCCTTTCTCCACCATACACCCTTCCTCCACAGACTCAATCACCAGCAACAAAGCTTGGCGGGTTGACACAAGCTCAACTGCCTCTGTCATGGCGGCAATCGAGCGCAGATTCCTTGGAATCACAAACAAAATGAGCTCTGCAATCGTCTTCTGTGTATCAATTGCCTGAATATGCTCATTCGGAGCCTGTACGTGCTTTTCTGCTGCCGGAGACAACCCGACTTGCAAGTAGTCCGCGAATGGAACGTACACGGGAATTCCAGCCTTTCGCAACAGCGGAATAGCAACACTCTGTCTCCAGGACGTCGCTGACAAATTCCCTCCAAGATACACGGATCCTCCTGTGAAGTTGCTGGCCAGTTGGCAATCTAGTTGCTTCATTCTAGACTGAGCGGGTGAGAGTGTCAACCCTCCGGGTGAATCACTGCTCGGTTCGCTATTGTCAGTAATGCTCTTGCTGCTATCAGTGCTGTTCAGCTTCAGCAGCTGCGAAGGGTACAAACGTGACGTTACACGGCGCGGACGGTGCTTGCTATACCCTTTATTCAGCATAATCGACGAGCTTTTCCAGAAACGCGGTATTTCTGGTCGAGACATGGACGCGTTACTTTGAATAAGCCATGCGATGCATTCATCAATCGCCGTCGCCACGTCCGGCAACACGCTTACATTTCTCTTTGTTGCCAAATCACGAAGACACTGCCGTGCTCCATTTAAATCCGCCAGTTCCGTCTTGGACACCAAGTTTCCTGCAATCTCGTCTCCTTCTTCAATGTCCTCAACCACTAGCACGACCTTCTTACCTCTGCAAATATATTCCACTGCTTCATTAATTGACACGAGACAACGTGTTACTTTGTCAATCACTACAAGCATCATGTGTGCTCTCTCCTTGGCCTTAGTCTCAATCTGAATGAGTTCTTCATACCACTCGTCCACTTGGGGATTAAAGTACTGCACGTGTGCAGCATCAAGCATCGGGATTGCAACGTCATGTCTCCATGTTGTAGGGTTACAGGAACCACCAAGAAAGAGATCAATGTCCATTAAACACTCAAGCGCGAGATCCTTAAAGCTAAAGCTCGGTGTCGTGTGTGTTATATGCGACGTGACAGGCATGGACTTGGACGTCAGCATCGCATTATTCGTGCCATGGAGTGCATTCTTCTGACATCGTGTATACATAAGATCTGGCGATGTGTATGACCGTTGCTTGATGAAGCAATTGGAGTGTGAAGAGCGTTGGGTTAGTGATGGTGTCATCATGTGCACAAATGATCTTGTTTTGATTACTAGTTCCGTATAATGATTTGGATACATTTGATGACAACAAGTCAGATCAAATAAGTTCAGAGGAGTTTGTTCTTTCTGTTACTTTTCATTTTTTACTTCCGCCCTTGTATACAGAAAGCAATCGAACCTTGCAAATAGCTTACATGTGAGTTTTCGGTATTGGTTATTTTTGAGCAGCTTTAAAATAAATAAGGTTATGAAATAGTCTCTAATTATTAAGTAATTGTAAAGTGCCATCCCGTATAGAGGGCGTTATTATATATCTGCGTATTAAAGCACACAAGGAATTTGTATCATATGATATCAATAACAGATTGACCTTAATAAATATGCTTGGAAGAAGAAATCAATATAAAACCAAGTGGAAGAAGACAATATGGCCTGACTAATGTATTGACAAGTCTACGAGTGTATCAAACAAGTCCACGAAATGTACAATCTGATGCAAGCAATGAAGCAATAAAATGGGCACGTTTGACTTTCCATTTCAATACCCTATTTCAACATTCCTATACCTTTGCCTAAATGCTACTTCACATTAGCGTCGTAATTTGCGAAGTAAGTACACCATAGCAAGCACTATTGAAACTGATGAAGCAGTCGAACGTAGCATCATGGAAACGCCATGGGCCGGTTGATCAGAAACTTGAAATATTCCTGCGTTTCCATGACGTAACAAATAATATCGTGCATAGCGTAGTAACGGCATGGCACGACCCGAAGTCCATGTTGTATCCAGGTACTGGACCAAGCGCAAGAAAATGGCACAACAGGCAACTGAGCTTAATGCCGACGCTGCTACCAATTGGACAAGTGCTAAACAAAACGTTCGACTTCGACGCGATGCATACAATTGCATTACTAACAATGCACTTGACATTGCTGCCGTGCGGTTCAATACCTTCGCAGTCGGTACTTTCATGAGCTTCTTGCATCCATTCCACACCCAAGACGTCATAATCTCGTTTAAAACTTGTTCACGAGAAGGTAACGTACGTACACTTCCAACCACATCTGGCCGATGGAAATCAAACCCTGCAGTCGTTGAGATTGGGCTCGTCAACACTTGATTCTGTTCCATCGTGCTCGCACTTGCATTAACCTCTTCACCTTTCTTGTGACTGCTGCCATCACTGTCACTGTCCTGCACTGGTAGTAACACTTTTTGCACTAAATCTGGTAGCAACGGCATAAGTCCTGGCTTGGTCATCATGACTTGCGACTCGGGGGACATTTGCTCCATCAATCTCATCTGCTCTGCTCTTGTTAAGGGCAACAAAAATGGTAAAACAGGAGCGAGTTTGTCAGACAAACTAGTGTCCGTGAGCCACTCCAATAGTGAAGTCTGCAGTAAAAGTTTTTGCATGAACTGAGGTAGGAATCCTACTAACCCCTTCCGACGTGCCTCTTCTTGATACCATCTCCATATGGGAACACACCATGAGTACATGAGCCCCAGTAGAGCATACATCAATGCCAACAAAGCTATCATGGCTCTACTGGATAAAAACTCGGCTAATAACACGGTGAGAGCAAAGCTCACGGTGAGGCAATTGGTGACTCGTAAAAATTGCAGCGCAAAGTTGAGTTCCGAGTATGCAATATGGACTAAAAGCAGCCAAATTGTAGGTGGTAAGATGGCGATAAACACTACAAAGTGGTCGACTGTAAACGAGTTGGACTCGATAGCGATAGAGTCCTGAAATTCGCTCACATGACGCAAAGATTCGTCATCAAACCATGGAGCCAACGAGAACAATAAGACACAGACTAGAGGCACCAAGGAGCATAACGCAAACAATTGGATACTTAATGGATGGTTGAGGCTGCAACGCTCTAGAACCGTGATATACAGTGAGCGGGACGATGAAGACATGTGGAGAATGTCACTAAAGTGATACGTAAGAAATAATTCAGAGTTTTCCAATGGTTTAGAAATACCCAGGCAAAAAAGGGTTACGTACAGCGTAATTTTAGGGTACTCTTGAGGCTACACCAAGGTATCCGCTGCCACTCTCGTTAAAGATAGCGTCAAGTTACCTCAAGATATGCTCTGGACACATTAGTGTAATTGGTTGAGTAAGCAAGTAGGAATTGTCAGGAGAAAGGCAAAAAAATTAATGGCACTTTCAACTTTTCACGGCATCCCTAGACGTATCAAAGTCTAACAGGTTATATGGCCAATAGGTAAAGTTGTTGCCGCGGGAGAACAACACGCGCAGTCTGAAGCAAAAAGAATTCGCAAAAGGATCAGCAGCTAAGAAGAAGAAGGTGAAGAGGTCAAGGAAGAAACAAAGGACACGCAGGAAAGGATGTTAAAAAATTTCCTTGCAAGCCTCACGGAACGCATATAGCGCATGGAGGCGTCGCAAGAGCGACACGAGGAGAAGGGAAGTTTGAAGGGCCACGAGGCTAGCGTTTTCTGTAGCGGAGCTAATGTAGCCAAGCTACTTATGCACTACATGCAGAGGAAGACAAGCTCAAAGAGCTTCGTCTTAAGCTTGTGCCTTTTGATTGTGAACAACCGGGTCTCAGGGAGACTAGTATCAAAGATACAACTCCTATAAGGAATAGAACGCTCAAGCACTTAAGCTTTTCAGAGCAGGTTTGAACTGATTTATATTTATGTTTATCTTCTACCACCCAATATAGAAGCACCTACTCTATACTTAGTGCTAGTCACTATTTGCTGGCTCTGTAGCCTATCAATATCCAAACATGTATAGTCACTATACCTACCTAAGTATAGTGACCACGTGGCTCTCTGCCACGATGCAACCCTTCGTACCTTAGGTACAGTCACTCTTGTACCTAAGGTAAAGCCACACAACATAGGTGTGGCAGGTGTGTATGTAAAATACACACCTTTGTGGTGGAGTGGGTTCTCAAAACTGCGTAATGAGACCACAAGCCACTCACTGTGCCGGCGGAGGGGGTACCCCGATGCCGCGTATAGACCTTCTCTCACCTTGTGTACCCGTCGGCTGACGAATTGCACTCTTCGGAGGACTTGATTGAGATGCAATATCGACCTTGAGCGATGTCGACCTTGAGCAATGTCGACCTTACTTGTTGGTGCGTACGTCGATGATTTGATGGTCATTCGATCTTCGAGCGATGTCGTTAACGAGTTCTTCAACAACATGGCGTTCCTCACGATCAAGATTTTGGGCGTTGTGAACAAGTTTCTTGGACTACGTATTAATTTGAAGGATGATGATGGCTACGTGCAGTGACAATCAACTTGCTGTAAAAAGAGAATGATTTGTAGTCAGCGAATGGAGCTCAAATCCCTGGCAGACTTTGCTACGGACAAGTTCGACAGAAAGTCAGTATATGGATCGATACTGACTATGGACGGTGCTGTAGTGTCCTTGATCTACAAGAAGCAGACTGGTGTCTCGTTGAGTACTATGGAAGCAGAATTTATCGCTGCGTTGCATGCAGCTCGCGAGCTTGTAAGGCTAAAACGTTGTTTGATGAGCTGGACATAAAGGTGGTGGAACCTATACCAATGAGGATGGATAATCAAGCGGCGATCAACTTGTTGAAGAGCGAGAAGTGTTCGTCAAGCGCGAAGCACGTCGACATTCGTTGGAAGTTTATCTGACACTACGCTCAAGCTCAAATTGTGCAGCCAGGTTTTGTCAACTCGGATGACCGATTGCGGATCTGTTGACTAAGGCACTACTGGCACCAGGGATTTTGACGTTGTATGAACTTTTCAAGCTATCGTCCAGGGTGACGCCGAGGAGGAGTGTTCGAAGTAGCTGCTTCTGACAAGTTGTCAAGCGTTGAAGTGTCAACTTTAAGGCCAGATATAGGTAAGTTTCGACTTTATCTGATTGCTTACATATGTGATGGGGCAAAAAGAGACGGACGCTACTTAGGCAACCAAGATGTCAAGATGGATGGGACCGGGAGAGACGGTCGACATGTGGGAGCAGCATATGGGGACGCACGCCATCTGCAACTTCACCAGGTCAAGCAAACGAAAGAAGCTAGCACTGATTATATTTTACGTTTGCTTTCTACTTACTTTGCAAAAGTGCAATGCCGATATTCTCCACGGCACGGCGCGCGTGGCACTTGGTGTTAATATGACGGCGGTGAACGCCGTCAACCCCCTTAGCGCCGACACGGTGCGTCCTCGCGATAAGTTTTCCTTTTCGCTATTCGTGCGCGGTTAAAAATGTCCACTACATCTTTTTAGTTAGGATAAAATCCAATTGCAGAGCTCAGGATGAAATCTCGACTTCATTGGACATCATAAATGACCTACGTACACCTTCCAATTCCTAGTAAATCTGGTGTAAATATAGCTGACAGTGTATGAATGTCTGGAGAATGGCGGGCTAGATGTATCTTGACGAAGACACTTTACGGCAGTGTGGACGGTCGATGTCTGGTGTCCTCACCACTGCTGGCGGCTGCAGGCTTTCATGGTCATATCACGGTGATCAATTATAATACACAATCGGTGTTGATCGTGCTGACGTGGACATGGAAACTCTGGAAATGAGCTCACGTTTCGCCCAGGAGATCCAAGTTTGTTGTTCTCAGCTGGAAATGACAAGTTTATTGGTCTATAAAGCTCGCTCACAAGTTTGTGCGTGGCGATCTTTGCCGGCCACGTGGGTCCCCGTAATGACGCGCTAAGCTTCAAACATTCATTAAAAAGCTTGTGCTATGTATCATTTGGCATGGATAAAAAACTTGATCAAACTCTAGGATCTCGAGGATGAATTGTGTTGTCCCGACGGCATTAAAAAGTCATCCACGTGACACTAATTGTCTTCAATGCCCAGTGTTCTGCACCTAGCAAAGTGCATGCTGAGTATGTGGATTACGTATGAATGGTGGATAATTTGATATTGTCCAAGTGAACTGGTAACAAGGTGATTGCTTGGAAAAAGCCAAACCTGCTGCGAGGTAAAGGCGACGTAGTTCCAGTGCTACAAAGGGAGTGCAACAACAAAGCTACAGCTATGCAATGTTGGTCTTAATTCACCATGGGAGGTCATGGTAGTGGGTATGAAACAGTAATTACATAAAGACAATACGTCAAGTATCTTTTCGTAAAGCTAGTCGTCGTATGATCATTTTGCTTGGACGATGGGACTGACTTAGTCATTACGATTTAGTTTATCTGCGGCTTAGTTTAGAGCTATAGTAATATCACGTGTACTGTCTCACGCGGTCTCTTTCACATACAAATTCCCAAATAAGCATTTTAAATGTTTAAAAATGAGATATAATTATCCAAATAAAACAAAACCACAGGCAGTCAATCAGATAGTCAGATAGAGAGAGACCGACCGACCGCGATCAATCGAGTTTTTCATACAAATGGGCACAAAGCGAAAGAAAGAGAGTGAAGTAGCTACAAGTAGTTCCAGTCGTCTTTCCTACATAACTACAGATTGTTCTTCACGTGGTAAACTACAGAAGACTTTGACAGGCATTACTCCATGTCGATTTGGCTTTAAAGGACCGTCAATCTCGCAAATCTCCACTCCCACCATCGCGTCAACGACGACACATATTACAAGACCAATGACAAGCATTGTAGCGTTAAAGAATGACCGGAATGTTGTTTCAGATAACGTTGTAAGTTTAAGGTCGCTTGATATTCACGTACTGGAGACATTTCATGCAACGTTTGGTCATGAGACACAAACGACACTTGAAGAGCTCTTGGCATTTCGTCCGAAGACGAATAAATTTGCAGTTAAAGCACGGAAAGAAGAACAGATTCAATACATTAAACAACTTAAATCGAGCGTACGTGATGTTATGAATAAGGTACAGTGAAAACAAAGATGGTTTTGAGTTGTATGTTTGTAGTATTATCATTACTGGCTTAGGGTAACATACGGTCCTTGTGTGTCTGTATGTTGATTGGCAGATTCAAGAATTTAGCAAAACCTCGGCGACGATAGATGACAAATTGGTAGCGGAGAAGGTGATTTTGGAGAAAAGACTGGCAGAGCTGCAGGAGGCAGTGAGAAACAAAGACCACATGGAAACAGAGTTGAAGCAATTGCGGGATGACAATGACATTATGCAGAAAAGTGTCACACGGATTCGAGCATCGGAGCAGGAAGTTGCGCGCAGCAATGCAGTACTTCGAGATAATGCGGCGAAGCTAGAAATTCAGCTAGAAGAGACCCAGAAAGCGAATGAACAGATGAAGCTGGACTTGAAAGCCCACGAGGCTCGCGTGATCGACGAATCTCAGCGCTTTGAGGAGAAAAAGTGTGAGCTAGAGCGCTTGTATGAGAAAAAGTGGATTGATGAAAGAAAGTGCAGGCAAGCCGAGCTGGAAAAGCTACAGGAGCAGCACGGCAAGACATGTGAAGAGCTTGCTTCGGTGCACAAGAAGATTGAGAATTACAAAGACAAGGCAATTGAGGCTGCAAATAGTCTGAGTCACGAACGCGAACGACGCATTAAATCTGAGATGGAAAAGTGCACTCTTGAGGCAAAGAATCAGTCGTTAGAGACCCTTGTGCGCAACGCGGCGAGCGAAGTGTCAGAGCTGAAGGAAAAGCTTCAGCACAACGAAGCTGAAGTTTCTAATCTTGTGAAAAGTCTGACTGACATTCAAAAGTTTAACGCGTCTGCAAGCACGAAGGTTGAAGCTGACAAAAAGGAGATGGCAGACAAGATTGAGCGGCTTCAAACGACTATTCGTGATCTTGAGCGGCAGGAATCGTCAAGTTCATCGACAGTGCGCGACCTTAACAAGCAGCTCAACGTATGTGAGGTTTTGCCCATGTGGTATAGTTGTGTAGCTAACGTTGTATGTGATAATGTTGCTTTCATGTAGTTGGAAATTGAATCTCGGAAGGAGGCAGAACAGAATGAGCAAGGAATACGAGCTCAGATGAAACAGCTTGAATCTGATCTGCAATCAAACATGCAAAAAGTAGGCGTAGAAGGAGGTGTTCGCCAGATGCTCGAGAATCAAGTTCGGGAGCTCCGTTCAGAACACATTGCTGTGAATGCCCAGTTGGAAGCAGTAAAAGCAGAAATGAAGCGACTTCAGTTTGCAAACGCAGAATCCAAGGAGCAGCACAGTTTGCAACTTGGCACACTGGAAGAGAGATTTCAGCAAGAAAGGGACGATTTCAAGCGCCAAATCGACAAGTTGCAGGAGGAGAATGTTAGTTTCGAAAGCGAAGTGCAGACTCTACGAACGCGAGCCTCTTCAGTTTGTGATGGAGATGTAGAGGAGCTGTGTAAAGTAAAACGTGAGGCCGACATTTTGCGCCGGCGTCTTAATGAGCTGACGAGTCGAGGAGCCCAGTCAATTGCTCAAAAAGATAGTATGATCTTGGAGCTGCAAGAAAAGATCAAGCAAGGTGACAAGCAGCGAAGAGCAATGCACAATACAATCCAAGTAAGGATCGTTATGGGTTTGTGGCTGGAGAAGCTTGAGATTAGATATTCATATGGCCTAAATCATTGCTGTTGTTTTATACTTATAGGAGCTGCGTGGAAACGTACGAGTATTTGCCAGAACGCGACCATTTCTACCATCAGACGGTTGTGATCCTGATACAACAATTCCTGTGATTTCGTGCGATTTTGACGGAGAAAGCCTGAAGCTGCAACGACCCGGAAAAAGTCAATCAGAGCCAGACACGTTCTCCTTTACGTTTGACAAAGTATTTGCACCTTCGTCCGGCCAAGATGCGGTGTTTGAGCAGGTCTCAGAGTTTGTTCAGTCTTCTTTGGACGGATACCATGTCTGTCTATTTTCTTATGGTCAGACTGGCTCCGGAAAAACACACACAGTAGGTATTCCCTTGCTAAACTTTTGTTGTAATATGGCGTAGTTGATGTTTTCTGCTGCTTGTATAGATGCAAGGGAGTGGGACCGGTCAGATGCGCGGAATCATCCCAAGGGCGATCGAGATGATTTTGCAGGAGTGTGAGACGCTGAAACACGAGGGATGGAACTACGTCACGAAAGTTTCTTTCCTGGAAATCTACAACGAAACAATAAAAGATTTGCTAGTCACAAAACGCAACAGTGACGAAAAGCTTAGCATCAAAAAAGACGCAGCGGGGGGGTGTCTACGTGCCAGGATTGACTTTTGTGGATGTTACTGCTATGGAACAAGTCGAAGATCTCATGGAACGAGCAAGTAAAGCACGAAGTGTTGCTTCTACAGACATGAATGTGCAGTCATCGCGGTCGCATAGCGTGTTTACATTGCACTTGCAAGGTGTGAATGATAAGAGAGGTGTAATGCTAAACGGCCAGCTAAATTTGGTCGACTTAGCTGGTAGCGAGCGCGCCTCACGGTCCAACGTTTCTGGCGACCGTCTGAAGGAAACACAGGCCATAAACAAGAGTCTTAGCTGCCTGGCTGATGTTTTCAACGCGATTGGAAACAAGTCTTCTCATGTAAGTTTTTTCTATCGATCGTTTACTATGTAGCAAGATTCTGACTGTGAAATTTGTTGTCTGGTAGATTCCGTTCCGCAATTCAAAATTGACATACTTGCTTCAAAGTAGTATGTCAGGTGACGGCAAGACGTTGATGATGGTGAACCTGTCACCAACGCTAGAATCAGCAAGCGAGAGTCTTTGCTCACTGCGATTCGCAAAGCAAGTGAATCAGTGCGAGCTTGGCAAGCCGAAGCGGCAGATTAAGTCCAGGAAGGGTCGTTCGTGAGCAGAGCGCAAGCCTATTGCAGAACACCGCCGGACCGGTAGCGTGCTGCTTCTAACATATGAGTCGCGCATGGAACGGTGCCGTTAGTTGGCCGCAACGGAACTTTTACAAAGTTTATCCGAGTAATGCTGAGCGTCGATGAGTGAGTATACCTCCAATCTTTTCGTATATACGTCGCTGACACAACTCAAGAATCGGAAATGGTGAGAGATGAACACAGGTGAGTAGATGGACTGAAGACTTGGGAATGCCGTTACATTCTGTGTGCAGTGTGCCTTGGACTTAACACTTGCATTCGCATGTTCTGCAGACAACGCGCGAGTATTATTTTCTTTTGCGATGATTAAACCAAGATTCTTCTCTTAGCAAACTAGCGCAGCAGATGCAGCTGACAGAGCGGTATCGTTCGAGTTGCAAGAGCTAGTGGCTGATTTGCATGAAGCAGTAGCACGAAAGACGTTTGGCATTACGCGAGACATGATCGACAGTATGAGAGTATACAAAGGGAGCTGCGGGATTTGGTCATTACGCTGCTGAACACCCATACGGTGTTTTGTGACCAGCCTGGTGGATCCTTCTGGAACGTGGATTCCTATGAAAGATGGAATTATAATGAGGCCCTTGTCATTTGCTTTGCAGAACTATTGAAGGAGGTATTTGAACTGATACGCGTAAGGCTTTCAATACATGAACATATTGTACTATAACGGTTACACAAAGGTGTTTATTGTACATACGTACACTGGTAGGTTGATGTGATCGTACACAAGGCAACTGTTGGTTCCGTGGACAGAGCCAGATTAATAGTGACTAGCACTAAGTATAGTGTAGGTGCTTCTATATTTGGAAACCTTGATTAAATCAGTTTCAAACCTGCTCTGAATAGCATTAGTTGCTAGAGCGTTATAATCCTTGAAAGAAAGGAAGGTGTATCTTTGATACTGGTCTCTTGGAGACGTGGTTACTTAGTATCCAAAAGGCACAAGCTTGTACAGCTAGCTTAAGACGGTTAACAACCCTAAGCCGTAAAACTCTTTGAACTTGTCTTCCTTTTCACTTAGTATTGTATAAGGTCAATGAAACAGGTTTGGTAAAATGTAAAGTAAATGTATTGTTTTCGGTCCTTAGTTCACAAAAGTTTTTTGCTACTTTAAGTCTATAGAAGCTTCTAGTACCTTCAAGAAGCTTCTTCCCATACTGACCATGGTATTGACCGCAATCAACCATCGCGCAATCGCAGTGACGCCATTGTTATAGCGTCGTCAATTACACTACAGCTAGTCGAGACGTCTATTTCCCGATACTTTGTGCCTGAGTAGCTGTGCTACGTGAGCTCTGCTACACCTGGTAGCACTTGTAGTCAATCCCGCACTTGTGGCTGCGACTACTACTCTGTGCAAATGACATTGAAGAGATGTTCGTGGCTGGCCCATAGTAGGCACAACAAGGACTGCAAAAGCTGCTCCCGACTATTGGCCCGAAGGGCGTGGAGTATTTCATCGCTTAAGGCGAAGAAAAGGTCAACATGCGTTTTTGTATGCTTGAACACAGCAACACTTTTATAGAGCATGTAAGGTACACAATGTCCTCATCTGCGCTGTCGCCAAGGACAAATATCGCGCAGGACGTGGTACGTAGTCTGGCACAGTGAGTGATTAGGGGTGGATGAGAACCCGCTCCACTACAGTCTCTTTCATATCGGCGATTTCAGATCGACGTAGTAAAGTCAACTGCTTTTTCCATGTCACGCTCGTCCAGAGTCCCAACAAAGATCTCCACATGTTTACGCCGCGTAGCTGACGTTTCCTCTCATATCAAAATCTTCGCTCCGATCACCACCACATTCCATCGATACAGATACTTAATGGAGATCATCTGATTTTTTGCGTGATAGTAGTGTCTGCTGACCGACACGCTACATCCCCCATACTAAATCATAAAATATTCCAAGAGGGGCTTCCACGCAAGGTCGATCGTTACAGCTGGCTATACCACTTACGCTGGCTGGCCTGTTAGGAGATCTTCAAAAAAACGAGGCACTTTTCGGCGTCAGGAGCTTGATCACGTAATAATGCGGGTTTCGCCTTGCTGATGAAACTTCTGGATCGATCTTCATCTCCGTCTCGTTCATTTAACTCCTTTCGATCAGTGATTATCGACACGCGGATTTTCTGAGAAGCGAATCCACCACTCGGCGTAGTCTCAACAGTGTCAGCAACCTAACACCTTCCAGACCGAGTCGTCGGGGTTATACTTTTCTGATCGGCTATGATGCGATCCCAGTGACACTAACTCTATATAGGGGTGATATGTTTCTGGGATGGTTGTGGGAGGTATCGATCGAGTGTCCGATTGACTTGACTTCAGATGAGCATAACTTTGTTGATCAAATTCATACTTCTTCATTACCGCTTCGAGAAAGAATGTAGCTGGCCTGATCCCATTGGATTAGCTTCATGATCATTCTTATCCTTGGCCGATCGTGTTTCAGCCTTGATCGGTGTCTCTTTTCACGTTTCAGTACTGCACCTGTCAGTCCAAGCAACATCCAATATTTCTACATCAAGTCTTTAGATTCTACTCGCAATTCCGTGATGCATACCGCTACCATACAGTATGATATTCTTTCGGCATGTCAGTGATCGACATTACTACTCGATCCGGTGTATTTAATTTTGTATCAGATGAATTAACTTTGCGAACAGCGATATGCCTGCATGTTTAACTTGATCAGGATCAAGCTCCAGATTTAGCTGTGCATCAAACACTCCAGCGATGAATCGAACCCCCTGCAATTACGTCATCAGACGAGGATCTATTTCAGCTGGTACAAAGTTGTATTGGGAACCCAGATTGGTCCTCGTAGCGATCCAATCAACTTTTGCTGCAAGATCTCTAGAACTGTATCGCTTACAAGTTGCCTCTTCAGCCCCTTCCAAAGATATTCAACTCCAGTTAATCTAATCTTCACCCTTTCATCGTCACATCGCGATCGGCTTCGATCTTGATTCGTCGATCGGATAACTTTGCATCATGATCGGATGTATCCGATATGGATGCTTTCATCTTCACTCGCATAGCTTTCGACGTCTTCATATTCGGTCGTGTAAAGAGTGGCGGTGGGTGAAAACCTCTCCGTTTTAGCCGAAAAATTTGATACAGCAGATCGACTTTGCAGCGCGATCTGCGATGGCCCTCAAAGGAGACTCGAGAGATAATCATGACTTATCTTGTAGATTCATCGATCGATCTTTCAATTCGATTTTGTTATTCACCAAAATGTCTCCCAGTGCTTTGATGATTTGTGTAGCTGTTAAAAAATAAGCGCTTGTCCGCAGCGAACCCTTCCACTGGCGCTTTAATACTAAGTTCAAAGTTGACATTAACATCTTCTCCAAAGAACCCACGGTGATATCCCAATCCACCAGAGGATCCGGGAACCATTTTGGTGGAGCCGCAATCGCAGTATTCCTGCAATCAGCTTCCCATGGCTCTTAGAGGACGGACTGTCGGAGGTGGCTCTCCGCATTCGTGTTGTTTGCCTTCACGCACCTTGTGCACCCGTCGGTAGGGCATGTTCATTCTTCTTGAAGACTTGACTCGATATAGATCTTGATCGGATTTCAAATTGAGGGGTAGGGCGTGCAGAAACCTTTACACGATCGCAATTGGTCTTTGGGGGGGCTGCAGTTGTTACCCCGATCTTCTTGAGATCACCCTATCCAATGTGTAAATTTGAACTACTTTAAATCTTTAAAAACTTGATCCGTCTATAAAACCTTGCCTCTACGTGCTGCTATGCGTCCGATAGCCGTTTGTGGTTGCTTGAGAGTGTCGATATTGAGCTCTGACAAAAGAATTAAGGGAGTGCCTTGTACAAACGCTGCCGGTGTCCTGACGTCAGGTAGCCAAATATCTCAGCCTGGAACAGAATTCTACGTGCTTCTTCAAAGTTGAATGAGCTCTGTATTACGTTAACCAACTAAAGCTCAAAATCTACGATTTGTAAACAAGGCTACATCGCCATGCGTCACCCATATCGATATTACAGCCCCATGGGTCATGTATTTTACATCAAGCACCAATTCAATAAAGCCGATCAAATTTGGCTTAAGGCGATCGAATAACGCCGGCCCCAAATGTGTGATCCAGACTGAATACATAGTGCACATCTTGCTCGCCGCCAGTCAACTCGCTCTTCACTTTCCATGTAGCTTATTAGCCGAACATAGCGGTCTTGTGTCTCAGCAAACATTCCGGATAGTCTTCCACAATTCTGTATCGACGACTCCGCACTTGCAGCTATAATATATGCGTACCCTTTGCTGCTCTGCAGCTTGAAACTCAACTTCTTCTTCCTCTTGACTATAGTCAATGGAAAATGGACCCATCAGACGAGTAGTTATAAGCGGCAGACCTAGCGGCCTTACAGTTGGTCTCGGCATTCCATGCTACTCCAACAGCTTCCTAAAATGAGGACGGGTTTACCCGGAAGACAGCGACAACTCGGAGTCCCTCCATAAAGACCGTGACGGTCACTGTCTCAGGCAGAGGGTATATGACCATGGCGGCAATGAAAGTTCTCAACTCTTGCACATATGCCGCAAGCTCCCTCAAACCCTAGCAACACACCAAACCTCGCTACCGGTTTCGGTGTGCTTGACTTGGTGTTGCATACTGCCGTGCCATATGCACTTTCATATTGGCCTATGATGGGAAAGCATCTTGCAGTGACGCACCGCATGTGAACGCCCATTGCTTCTCTAAGCCACCCAAATTACCCGTGGTAAAGCCAAACGGTGGGGTGTCGGCTATAAACATAGCCGACTCAACCTGTCGTACCCACAGCATAAGGTTATCACCTTCTTTGCCGTAGATCTTGCCGACTTCCATTTTTATGGGGGCTTGGTATATTAACTGTCGTAAGGGGTACCTAGATACCGCGTATAAACCTTCTCGCACCTTGAGTACCGTCTTATGGCCGGTCGCGCTCCTTGTAA